AAAAATCCTGACCCAAAGATGATGTGGTTAAAATTGCAGACTTTCCACTACATACTTGCAGTACATTATTTTTACTAGAATACTTTAACTTGGATAAGCTTGCCATCGTCGTGAGTGTAGCAAAACACTTTAATTCTTCATAAAGGAGGTTGGTATCTTAGAAACTGTGGTATTGCGTGGATGAGAGTTATTGCAATGTTGATGATGTAAGAGTTTCGAGCGCTTGAAACCTCACTTTTATTCGTAGTCGTTACATGCCTCGGAAATCGGCATACATTATCATTTCGTTTCAGCTTTAGCGTGCCCATGATTTTCTAATAAGAATAGTCCCAATGAACCGTAAGTTGTCTCCATATCATCCTTTGATGAATAGAAAGTTAAACCAAGAAATGATGCAGTTGGAAGAGACAATCAGCCAGAGATCACACGGACTGTCCGGAAAAGCCTTATCAGAAATTTGCAATATGTGTTTCAAGGTAAAAGTGGCTACTACTGGAGCGCTGGTCTGCGAAAGGTGTAAAAAAAAGACCTGTATAAGATGTGGGAAAAGGGATCAAGTAAGGCTACTCTGTAATTTGAATTCCAATTTTTTTACCTATTTGATCGGATTGAGATCTTCTCTTAAAGCAAGCTATGACGACACGACATCAGATAGATAGATTAATATATTTGACGAAAAGATCTTTACATATTCTGAGGTACATTCGCCTTGGTTAATTCCGGCGAACTGTTGTTATGAACTGTTGTTTACAGTTTTTGACCGTAAAGTTTGCGTAGCAATAGAATTTATAACAAAATAGTCCCAAGAGACATCCTTGCTTGCTCTTTGATTGGTTTAAATGGATTTAGCTCAACAGACATATTCACTACCGATCGCCACTCAGGTACATTTTACCGATCACAAAGGTATAGTCAAATAGCAATATGACACAAGTGCCACCGAATCACTTTGGGAAAAGACTCAGGCAATAATAGGGTTGAAATTTGTCAGCCGTTTAGGTCATCCTGGCAACTTTCTGTGCATCTCACTGATTAATGTTCGTTCGAAATAGAAGTACATGGAGGTATAAGTTAAATTAGAAATTAAGCAATTTCAGTGCATTTTCAAAGTTCATTAGAGTCGTATTAATGGCCTGATGCCTATCCTATGAACGCTGCTTCCACACCATCACTGCAGAACATTTTCACTCATAGGGATGAGTTGTGTTGTATTTCGGTTAGGGCGTTTGGAGATGCGCTTTGTGTTTGAAGATACGTCAAAGTCTTATGTTTACTGGTGCATGGTACCATGACGTGAGTCCACGTGAAAGGTTTCAAGTCCAGGAGATGCTCAATAGGCTCGCTGAGGAATCTGTCAGACGACTAGAAATGGTTGGTACCCCATTTTTCCCCTATATCAGTCATAAATTTTCTCGTCATTGTGCATGTGAACTTCTGCCAAGAATCTTGTCTTACTTAATCAGCCTTACCTCATATTGATTCAAATGTTGGCCTGTGATTGGCTAAAACGGCTGCATTTATGTTGGTATTTGCTTCGCGTCGAGAAATATTAAAGCTTAGGAATATCAATAATAACAATAATAATAATAATAATAATAATATCAATAACTGCCTTTTGTAAAAGAATTACGACAGTATAATCTTAGCAAGTGTACAAATAAAGAGAGATGAGGTGAGTGTATGACAGTATTTTGCTAAAAAGATTAAGTTAAGTGGTAGTTTAGTGGATGAGAGCCCAAACTTTCTGTAGATTTCAAATCCCGCCCCAAATCACTCACTTACACTGCGTGTGTACTTTTCTTGTTCTTTCAATTCTATTTAGCACTCTGACAGTAGTAGAGGGGAAGCATCTGTCAGAATCTCCTCATCTCCTGAAAATTTGCCACTCCTGCATCACTCTCCCCCAACATATCCAGAACTGCAAGTCACGAAAACTTTATACCTAGCCACAAGTGAGGGAAAAAGGGAAGCTAGTGTCCATGATCTGGATATCGAGAATGAGGATGACGACGTCTTTGAAGACAACGATGAAGAAATTGACAAATACCTCAGCTTCCCTCATGAAGAGGACCAGATTCAACAGCGTGATGGGTGGGAAGAAAGCTATTCTTCTGTGCATCATTCTTCCTTAGATGACGATAGCTGCTCATGTGAGTCACAAGGAGCTTCAGAAGGGACGCCAGAGGGGAATCAGTGAGTGTATGCATAATGTGGCAAATGTTATCAGATTTCTTATTTTATTGAAAAACATAGACTTCCGCTTATTGATTAAGACCAACCATCCGATCAACTAACCTACGTACTTCCAAACTGACTGCTTCACTGACCGACTGACTATTTCACAACAGCTTTAAAATTTAGTTATCGTATTTTGCTTTTTCTGGATCCTTTCATCTCTGTAAAATGCTTTACTTGTACAAGACCCTCAAGCTGTCACGGCTTCTAATAAGGTTTATCATATTTAAATTAAGATGCCATTTATCTTTAACATTATCATAATTGATATCACATTGTCATTAACACGATCACCATAAACATCACCATCATCATTATTAGTACAGTTATTTTTATCATAGTGGCTTAGCTCACAAAAGAGTTGTAGCACAGAGTTTCAAGGTCTAGAGATCGATACCTCGTGGGTAGCTCAAAAAGTCTTTCTTACTCCGACGCTTGTGACAAAATTAAGAAGATCTTTTTTTATTCAATGACCGAATTGAAAACTAACCATCCTTCCCATTCTATCTCTATCAACATTATAAATTTATCCATCGTTTCTTATCATCATCATTATTATTACCGGTCATCAGGAGTCCCATGGAAAACATGCCTGTTGATGACCAATCACGGCGACGAAAGGTAAGAGCCTGAAGTGCTTCCATGTTATTTCTTTTCTTAATCAGATAATCAGTTGGAAAAATGCGGCCGGATAATTGTGTTGCTTTCTTAGGTAAGACATTTAACTCTAACAATGTCCACCCTTCCCCACCCCCTCCCTGCAAAATATTGTTTGTTTGCTCATTTAGGATTCTTTAACCTAAGAGGAATGAGGGAAAATTTTGTCGGTTATCCCTTAAAACCCGGTGAATACACCTCTTCAGCTGTATATTTTTTTCAACTATTCCAGCTCATGAAATGATACTCTAGATAACTGTTTCTTTCCGACGGAATTTCCTCTTACTGAGGAGCATAGGTGCACATGATGCACAAAAGATTTGGGTGGGAATTCCTTAAGATCTGAAACACTATTTTCAGAGAAACCTGTTAGGGACTGAGGGGGGAGAGAAATTAAAAAAAATGATAAAATCGTTTATTTATACACAATAAGATTTCAGCGTATAGGTGATATAGTCGTATCCTAGTCTAACTCGTTTTATGCTGTGGAAACCAGGACATGACCTTGGGCCAGTTTCTCGAAAGTCCCGGTAACTAAACGTGCCCGAAGCTATATTTTAAGATAAAAAGTTTAAGAATAGAGAAGCAGGCTCTGGCGCCCTAACCACTCCATTTTGTTTCCTTAGCTGCTAGTTTTATTGTATAATTCTCAACACTTTTGAAACCCCCATTTTGAATGAAAACAGAACGAATTTATGGGACCTTCGAGAAACAGACCCCCGGCTAGATGGATTATAAGTCTCGATAGCAGACTTTACCTTTGCCTATTGATAACAATAATGACGCATTGCTGTTTTCTGGTATACAGGTCGGCGGTTTACCCATCTCGAAACATGGAGATTGTCCCATGATTCATAAAATGACCCTTCGTAAAGACCCAAAATTACAACGTCTGGAAATGGGCACAGGTATGTAATGGTCGCAAACCCCTGTACAAAGGAAAATAGGATAAGGTCGACCTTTCGTACGTAATGTTTGCTCGTATATTATCTGGCAACGTCATACCCTGTGTCAAGCTATGAGTCAAAGGAAACAGGTTGGGATAGCGGGTGGGCTAAAAAAATAAAGGGAGTGTTGTTAGGAAAAATTTCTGTTTCCCGCCCAAAAAAATTCTGAAGATCGCCCACTTGTCACAAATTTTTTTCTATTTCCACCGAAAAAGAGTCGGGACATGCTGGGAAATCGAGGTTATAATCATATAAACATTACCAATGACCGAAGACCGTTCTTTGTTGTTATTAAACACTTGTCCCTTTATGCATCTTTTCCGATTCCCGTGCACGTTTTCTTTGATGTGTTTATAAAAGGCCCAGATTGTTCGGAGTTTAATTTCTCACATTCTTTTATAGACTACGAGTTGTTTGGTATCGAGGTTGTGGGCGGGAGAATGTGCACTGGAGGTTTCCTGTGTGTTTACGTTGCCAAAGTAGTGGAAGGATCATCAGCTGTGCAGTGCATCAGGGAAGGTTAGTGATCGGTTATTATTTATCACCTGAGGGGAGGGGGGGGGGGTTTGAAGGATTTTAGTTGCTTCACGATTAAGTTTACCTCATCCCATCCATGAGGCTCTGTAGTATTCTTATGGACGCCCCTCCCGTACATTTGCGGTTAGTTAGTAGAAACATTTCTATAGATCCCCTCTCATATTCTGTTGGCGACGACTGATCACCCCACTGTTCCCACAAATACCACGTGATCCTCCCCGGATCTTCCACCCCCTCCCCCCTTAGGAAAGTGTTGTCGAAGAACTTTCTCACAGGTTTTAAAGTTTGAAATTTCTTTTCATTTTTATCTTTCCCATCCTCATCACTTTATGATTAATTTTGTGCTGCGAGAAAACTTTTTGAAATTGTTCTTATAAGACATCTGAGAACAGATTTGTCGTTTCCGATATTTGTTTCTCCAGTAATTTAGGGTTTCCTTTCATTTCAGCCTGTATTTTTGCATCTCTAGACTCACAGATTTTGATGAAAACTATGACCAGTCCTCCAGTTACCTTTTTCAACGCTAACGAGCGAGCTCAATAAAACACATGCGAGATATCTCATAAACTTTTTCGTACCATTCAGGTGATCAGATTTTGGAATGGGATCATACTTCACTGGTGGATGTATCATTTGAAAAGGCGAAACGTATTGTTGCCGCCTCGCCGCCTGAAGTCACACTTGTCATTTGTCATAATGCAGCCAGGTAATCACATTCATGATCAATCAGTTGAATTACAGAGTTTTTTCAATGCCCCCTTTCGTTGTGAACTTAAATTCAAATGGCATTTTAAGGATGTATTTCTCCACCACTGAGAGTTGGGCTTTCCTGAATCCTCACAAATCTCACCTTTTTGGAGTAAGTTCATCGTCTTGCAAGGGTGGAAGCTAAGAGTTAATGCTCCAAAGATGGGCGTGTGGGCGTCTCTCTCTTTAATCCGAGCATCCCTATTGTGGATTAATAGTGGTAATTGAACTGAGTGGAGTGCAATTTGGGCTGAAATCGTACGCGTAATTTCAAAATCGAACAAGCGCGCAGCGCTCGTTCGATTTGAAATCACAAATATGATTTCAGGCCAAAATTGCACGACAAGAGGTTCAATTACCACTTTATTACATCCATTTTGAAATCGCCCAAATAGAGGACTTGGTCAGTTCAAATATTCTATTGATGTAGTATTGAGCTGGTCTGAAATTCAATTCATCCATTTTTGCAGGGGAAAAAGTAAGAGTTTTGGAAACAAAAGTTGCAAAATTTGCCACATGATACTCTTTGTCTTTCATTTTCCTGCGATGTGGTTGGTAATTTTAAACAAACACTTGAAATCTGATAGGTTATTTTGTTTTTAGTGTAACCTCCTCGTTGGCTGGGAAAAAGGTGTGATTTGAAGCAAAAAATGGTGCGATTCGTGAATAAATCGCACCAATTAGAGCCAATCAGATTACAGGGACCACTAGTGATTTCAAAATGGGTGTAATAAAGTTGGTTACGGATTCCAACAGAGCGTACGATCAGCATCTGCTGCTCCAAGGTGTCTCTCAAATTCAGTTTGCATTCATGGACAGTATTAGGGGGAAAAAGGAAAGAGTGAGTCACTCTTGACCTATTTCTCCCTAAGACTGATAAAAAATTCAAGCTGTAAATGGTATAAAATATTGTAAAAAGGACCCAAAGAGGACTAAATTGTCGACAGCTAAAGCTACGTAACAGTAAAAGGCCTTGTCAAATTGTTTTTATGTCGTAGAGAAGGAGAACAAAAAGCATGTGATTTGTAGTCTAATGATTAAACTGACCGGTTGAAGTTTTTGGATGTGCTCCGCTTTTCATGCTCTCCTTGATAGGTATTTGGAAATCCAACAATAAAACACAAAGACCACAGTTAGCGTATTTTAATCCAAATTTGTAGACAAACAGACTGACTTGACTTGTGCTCTGTTCTGCTGTAAAATACTCAGGAAGCGGCTAGAGCACGAAAGAAGTGTAGGGAGAAAAACGAGACGTATTCGAGTGTTTCTCCCTATTTCTTGAGCTCTTCAATTTGTACTCTGATAGCGCACGCTCAGCGTGCGTTATACCCGAACTTTATTATAAACTACTATAAATTTATTAGCTGCCTGCACCTTTCTCTCGGAATTGACGGAAGGTTTATCGTAATGTAAGACTCATGCTGTTAAAACTTTAACGTCTCTGTTTTCTTTTAGTTTTATGAAGAAACCTCGAACTCCCTCATGCGGAATATTAACAAAAGCAGCGGAGAAAAAGAGGAAAAGATACGGTAATTAGAAATTTGAAACGGCTCTTTTCATTATACTGACTGGGGAGATCTTCATTTTCGCATCTACTACCATTTGACCAATCTTTGACGCTCTATTTTTAAAAACATAAAGTTGACCGATGAGGATCAAATGTTAGGTTCTTTGGGTTAATTTCTCAAGTTCAGTTCACCGAAGTGGAGAGATTAACTGGTGTAGATTATCATTTTAGAGATAATTAATCGAGGAAATACATTTATCATATAAAGAAAAGAAAAGAAAAGTTGTGACAACACATGTGAAAAAATACGATACTTTTTCACATGTGTGATATCGCCAATCAGCTGCTGACACGTCACTCGCCTTTCACAGGTTGAGGTTGATTAATGAACAGCAAAGCCTTTACCATTCTCAATCCGTGGTTGTTTATCGGAATTTTCTCGGATTATAGCTGCACTGAAAAATTCGTATCGCTTACCAACAGTGACGTTCAAACTTTCCTAGAAGGGGAAGAAAACCGAATTACGGAGAGAAAAAGCGAAAGTTACGTATTCAGTGGCTTTGGTAATGGCATTTCTCGTGGCTAAGAACGAAAATCGACAACTGGGAGGTCTGCCACAGGCCGCTTTTAGCTGTGTACCTGAAAGATTTCTTCTGTCGCAAACGACAAAGTCGGTAACTGAGAATTTTTTATATTGAAAATCACGCTTATGGTTGTTTTTGCAATGCTTCAACGCATTTTTCATCTTGATCTTTACAATTTTTATTCGAGGATTGTCGATTCTTTTGTTTTCATTCGTCAATAAAGTCGACTTTTCTTGTCAGTGAAGGACTATTGTGTTTATATGATAAAAAAAAATTATATGTGGTTGCTTGTAGATATGGAACTTCTCTTCTCGTGTTCAACTCGACATCTCACTCGTTGCCTACGCTCTTTCGTAAGCACTCGAAGAAAGAGTTCATATCTACGCGCGCCCATTTATTATTCTCTCCCTATATATATATATATATATATATATAACCCGAGCGCCAGACAAACACACTTCTGATTCCTTCTAAGGATTCGAACTTAGATCAATAACGTTATCCTTTCTTGCCAATAACCATTTCACAGACTTATGCATTAATACGGCAATCGAACCACGAAAATCTTAAAACTTGCCAACCAGTTTGTAAGCTAAGATTATGTGTGACAGTGCCTTGTAAGCTGTTACAAATAGGAATCTTACAAGACTATATTTTGTGGAGGAGAGTGATTAAGTTTGTAAATTCCGAGTTCGGCTGTCGAATAACTACCGATTTCAAACTCTGGTATCGAAGTAAAGTAGAACGCGTACATGACTAAATATGGAGTCGAGTGAATAATCTGTTCGGATATCTCTATGTTGTAGACAGTATAAAGTGTTGGTCGAGGTGGTCTCTTGCCCAGCTGACAGACGAGGATTGCGTTTTTGATGAGGTAGGCACAAGTAGCTGCTTATTGGGTTTGTGCTTTGGTTTTATTCTGAAAAATGTCCCAGTTGTAACATCAGGCGCGTCCACTTGCTGTATCTCATTCTAGATATTTTTTTGAATGAAGATAGCTTGAATATAATGGACGAGAGCAACAGCGATAAAAATGTGTTATGTCGTAGAATTAAATTTTCCAGTTGAATTTCATTTATCAATAAGAATATTTATCACTCGATACCCTTGTAAAAGCTTGCCAGAAGGTGAAGGCTGGTTTTCAATGGCGTCAGAGTCGACAGAGCGCAGACGAACCCGTGAAATAAAAAAATCAGAGCTGTATGCAATTATAGACTTCACGGGATGGGAATCGGAAAAATCAGAAAGTTTCCATCCCCCTTTGACTCCGCTTTCGACTCTAAAGCTTATATGAGGGTCTCAATGGCATGACGGCTTTTTAGGCTAACAGTTCAAAATTTTGGCCATCTTACGGTTAATATCAATCACCAGAAAGTTTTTTCTCCGGTTAACTTTTTCACGATTATCGGCTAAAAATTTGTCAATTTTTCCGCCTAAAAGCTACATTTTTGGCCGTTGTACGGCGATTGGTTGACCCCATCGAGACCCTCTTCTAATACGATCTTGTTAAAACCCTCTTCTGGTAAGATCTTGTTAACGGCATGTAATCGGAGTCACAAGCAGAAGCAGAACAACAAACCAAGTACAATGCCAATTCCCTACCCTCCCGAGTAGTCCAGACTTTCATAACCTAGTTTTCAAGGGATCTAAGTGACAGTCATAGGCTGAATTGCAAGTCTGCGTCTAATTTTATTGCAATACCAGAGATAACTTTATTTTCAGAGATATGACCTCATTGTTCAAGACAGGTTATGTATTATCTGTATACAGGGTGAAAATCAAACTCAAGGGCAAAGAAAGATCGGACAAATACAGGTATGCAGCATGCTACTTTCTCTTACGCTTAATTTAGGTCAGGTAACAGCCATAAAACAAAAAAAGGTCGTTTTAAAAAATTTTGTCTAACTTAAGTTCGTCATCTCGCATGCAGGCATATGTAAGCACATGTCTCCTACACTGAAAGCAGTGTCTCTAGTGTTTGATTCACCAGTGTTTGCCCCCATAACTCGGAAAGTTTTGCGAGGAGAGCTGGGTAGAGCGTTATTTTGCCCTCAGTCCTTCCATACATCAAACACAAATTAGATGATTGTAGATGCTGAAGCTCCCCTGACTGTTTGCTTGCACTATTCACATTATTTTACTCTCTTTAGTTGAGAGAGATACTCTAAGTACAGTGTATTACTTTGGGACAATATACAAAGTTCCGAGAGGGCCTTACTGATCTATAACTGAAGCGTATTTCTACTTTCATGCATTTAATGTTATTTCTGTTGTTTTCATACTTCGTTGCAGCTGCATATATGGCATGATCCTCATGGGAACAACATGACAGTGCGTGTGTTGAATGCAAGAGGTCTATCATTGCAACTTAGGCCAAAGCAGGAGTTAATCAATCCCTACGTTCTACTGTATCTACTACCAAACAGAGAGTAAGGATGTTAAAGTTGATATATTAATGACTAGAGCGGCGCAACGGAACCCACTCTCATACTAAACATTTTTGTATCTTTTGTGTTGTTGGAGGATGATTAAAAACCTATGGTTATCTTCCTGTTGCTTTTTCTCCGATCTCTCCTACGTGTTCCCTTCCACCTTTTTCTCTCGTTTCTCTTCATTCCTTTTCTTTACCGCCTTTCCTACTCTTTCCCTGGTCATGTCTCTATAATTATTTTCAAAGAAAATCGTAGGCCAAACATTTCTTTTACTGATTTAGTTGGACATCAAAATCAAACCACTTTCAAAATAGCTGTTACAGCGTTTTTACTCTGGTCTGTCCCACTGGTGCCCAGACATTATCACTTTAGGGTGGAATCGCAGCTGGAACGCGCACAATATATGGAACACGTTTTTGTTGGAGTACCAAGTAGCTGATGTGTTTACTATTGGAATGCTGGTTTTCTTTTTAGGATCTCAAGTCATTTTAGGACCAATACTGACCCAGAGACGGTTACTCCAAAATGGGATCTCAGTTTTGTGTTTTCAAATATCCCTGAAAGTGAGGTGCGAGGTCTTTTACCTGATTTCAAACGTTTAGATTTCAATTTATAGCAGCGATAATTTTCTCAAGAACTATGGAGTTAGTTTCGGCTAAAGTCAAAGAAAAGTATAGGCTAAAACGTTTGAGCAAAACAGTAAATATGATGAGTAATGCGACGTAATTTACGCCTGATGTAATACACTACACTTTTTGTTTCTTTGCCAGCTTCCCTCAAGAACTCTGGAGGTAACTCTCTGGAGTGAGGTTCCGGGAGATACCAACATATTTCTTGGAGAGGTACTTGGAACTGGTGATATCATTTTCTTAATTTTTGAACAATGATAAAACATAGGAAGCAACACATTTTGTTTTTTTATTTTTTGAGAACTGAACATCGGTTGCAATGTGTTTTTTTTTTGTAATGCGAGTGCACGTAGTAATTATCAAAAATGCCGATCAACACTTTCAGTTGCAATTTCCCTGACAAACTTAAATCTTACATAAAAATGATTTCAGTTTAGCTGACAAGAGAAATTGACTCTCTTAAGTGTCAACAATAATTCGGGATAAATGAAATAAATGAATGGATGAATGAATAGATGAATGAGTGGGTGTGTGGGTGAGTAAGTGGATGCGTAAATAAGTGTATAAATAGATCACAGTTTTAATCGCTTTCTCAGACGTTCCATACATTTTGCTTTAATGACGCACTGAATTTGATGTGTTCAATTCTTTAAGAGTTTGATAAAAATGACGCCGACTCTGCTCTGTAGTGGCGCACAATGGTTTGATATCCAGGATCATGACGAGGCGTCCACGTTTCTCCCAGTACCAATGCGTCGCAGGCATACTCTTTCTCCATGTTTACTTCCTCCCATCAATGAAGGTAATTTTAGATCTGGGTCTGCACTGGTGTGGCTGACACTTAGAGGCCACTTGACATCGTCTGCTGTGCTACCCGTCCGCGAAAGTTGATCTTTGTCATACTTTTGGCTATCATACGAGTCTGCAGTGGTTTTGTTCAACAAAGAGTTGCGATTGGTCCTAGAGGCCGAGCCACATTGTGAATTAATCCGATGCATAACCTAAGCCAACTTGGTTATTGGCGATGTCAAGCTGTTTACTTGTTCTTACCTAGAATTCTCACCAAATAACTTTTGAAAGTATCCTGTGTTCTGACTAGCAGTTTCAATAGCTTCGTTATTTTAAAACGATGCAAGGTCGAAACGCTCTGAGAAGAACAAAAGTTTGAGACAAAAATTCTGCAGATTTCTCTCGCTCAAAACAGCAACAACGAAGAGGCATAATGAAAATTAAAAACAATTGATTGCTCCTGTGAGTTGTAACTAAAAGTTAAGGTGAAGGAATTGAATAGAAAATGTATCCTGTCAAGACCACCTTACATTGAAGCGAACATGAAAGAAAATTTCCTCAAAACGGCGAAGATAAACAATCCGAAACAAGAAAAGCTACTTTACCAAATATGTAGTAAGATACTTTAAGAAATTTAGCCCCGTTCTTTTTGCTTATTTTTTAGTGAGGACCTCTAACGAGGAAGTCAAGAATGACAGCAGTCCTACTGGTCTTAAGACGGCCAATCGTAGCATAAGCACGGTAAACATCTCAACATGCGTCTCACAAGTCTTCATCAGCGAAAGCGATGGCCTCACAATGCAGCACAGGAGAAGGAGAAGAGCTGATTCCGTTGTTACAATGAAAGCGTTCCGTCCCAAAAGAAATTCAAACTTCCAAAGAATGGAATCTTTCCGGAGAAGATTCTTGGGTGAGAAAAAAACATAATCTAAATACGCCCCTTCCATACAAAGCAATTTATGATTAAAAACAGAAAATGGTTATGGGAGACTGGTGCCTAAACGGTTTGCGGGCCGCACTCAGGTTCTAGAGGGTTAGGTTCGAGACCTGTCAAGCAACTGAGTTGTGTTCTTGAGCAAGGTGCTTTCTTGTTCTCTGCTCCACCTTGGAATATAAATGAGTTACGGTTAGCTCTTAAGGGGGGTGGGGTGGGAATGTTGCGATGGAATGGCATTAATGTCAGGGTGTGAGGCAAATTTTAAGCTTTGGAATTGCAATCATCTAAATTTAGATTCATCTTTCTATCAAGTTTTGATCATCAAGATCTTATCTCGCCCACCAAATGCTCTACCTCGCAGATTCAAGTTATAAAAGTCGGTCAGCCCCAACAACACCCTCCGTCAGTATTCCGCAATCCATGGAAGATCTGAGAAAGAAAAGAGCGATGACGCGATCAACAGATGGCTTAAAGTTTCCACTTCACCTGTCAGATTATTTTACGTCTTTAAAGTCTGCAAAAGAAAACGCTCACGAAATAGAATTTAAAGCTAAAGAGGAGAGAGAAGGGAAGATGAGAGGCGCTTTGAGGGTCATGAAAAGGTAGATAGTGAAAAGTGTACCTTTTTTGCCCAGAGAAATCAGCGATTTGGTGTTGAGAGTAACTATAATTGTACAGGTTTTGTTTTTAAATCGAACTATAATTGGTCTTAAAGTTTCAAAAATTGATGATGATATTCAACAACTATTCACCAAAGTGAAACGGCCTGGTATCTACCATAGGCCACCAACACACAGTATAAGTGAGATATTAAAGTGAGATATTGTACAAGAAAAACATGATTTTAACTCATTTTTTCCTGCAACGATTACAATATTTTCAGGCGCAAATCCCGAAATCGAGAGTTGCTTGAGGGTGAATAGCATAGGGTATTCGGAGTATAAGTTTCCAATCAGAGCACGCCCTCAACGCTATCCACTGATATATGTTAATCACCTTAAAGAACAAATAACCAATCAAGTGGGCACCCATCCATAGACAACTATTTCGACCTCATTAGCTCTCACTAACATAGCAGCATTGCTATCAAAAAAATGTAACTCAGTTCTCACAAGTATACCAAACATAAACCTCTCTTTCAACATATCAGACGCAAAAATTGCTGCAGAACTAAATTTCTCTGGGAACCTAGTTTTTGTTACTATTATTATTACTCTTATTTTATTTGCCCCTTTCAGGAAGTACATCAGTTCTTACTGTGAGTGCTCATTCAGGCTTAGTGATAATTCAGAGGACCGGACTTAACCGTTGATATTTTATTTTACAGTCCTCTTATTCGTGTCTCTCAGGTACCCTGCAAATTTCAGGATACGTTTAGGAAAATTGATGGAGAAGCCATGTCAGCTTGGGGTAGTCGCTGAGCCTGGTGCTAGTGGATCTACGATGTCAGAATATCATGGTAATATATATAGTAACTGTTTGTAATCCCTTGGAAACCTGTTAAACCTTTTACTTCCAAGATATCATTGGTAGTTGAGCTTACTATCTGTCATAGAATTCATATGTAGATATTACTTCCTCTAAGCCCCTGACAAATTTACTTATTCATATGTGAGATTATGAGATGAGTATCTTTAGATAGGTACCTTTGGAATATGCATGCGTTCCGAGTCCCTCTCCCTCAACAATAAAAAGATAACTGTAGAAGGAGCGTGAAGTTGATTTCAGGCGAAATAATCAAAAGTATTCACAAGATCGGAAGTATCGTCTCCAGAGTAAAAAGCTTAGAAGATGGATTCAGAAGTTTAAAGGAAAGGAATAGCATAAGATTAGAAAGATTAAGACATTTTAAACATTTAGGCGAGATTTTGTAAGATGCGCACACCACGACACACTCCTGCAAGAACAGTCAAACCCCTCTTAAGTTGTCAGCTTAGTACTTGATCAGTTCATCGAAAGTTCGCATAGCACTTTTGTTTATGATCACAGATTTGCCTGGATATCTTTCTGCTCCAACTACGCCCAACGTGTCGACGTCCACCGAAGACCTTCGACGGGAGAGATCTCTTACCAATTATTTACAAGTACCTCGAAGCCCTGGTGTTTTTTCAATATTCAAGCGTCGTAACGATTCTCAGAGCTCACAAGTGTGCGCAGGAAATGTCGCCGAAGGAGAGGAGCCGTCGTAAGTTGTATACCTCACTATTTTCATTTTGGTATCATACTCAAAGAAGATTAAATTTTAATAAGAATGTTTTCATTGCCAATGTACGAGGTGCATAACACCTAACCAGGGTGACGTCTACTGACTTAAAGTAATTCAGTCAGCAAAGATTGGGAGAAAAATTTTCACTGCTGAATTCGGTGTAGTTTGTGCGCATGCCCTAAATGAATTTGCTCTTTTTAGATTCTTTACAGGGGTACCCATACAGGAAAAAGTTTTCATTCTTTAATGTGAGGAGAGCCACAAACCTAACTGCTTGCCTCCTTGCTCTCCTCTACTTATTATAGCTAAGTTCTTTTTATCGAAGGTGTATCGGAACATTTCCTCTTTCAGTTCAATGGAAACTCAGCCATGTTTTTCACCTCGCTTATCGCCTTCTTCGAATGATGTAGGCTGGGAGGTTTTTTCGCCATTGCCCACGATGAAGGAGACAGAGTGAGTCATAAGTTCTTCTCATCTTTTTTCTTAAGTCTAATAGATCAGCTCATCGGTTGTGCCTAAACAGCTGAAACTTTCCTTTTTTCCGTGGACGTCGACTCTTATCGCAAGATGTTTACCCCTGGATAGAAACCACTGGAAAGTAACTCGCAATGCGATGTGTTACATAGATGTGGAGGTGTAGAAAGTCTTTTTGCTTGAAATTTTACGAAATAGTAAGCAAAAGAAAGTCGCCACGTTACCCGTTAGTTTTAAGAGTTAAGCCGAGTATAGCCTCCTCTAATGAATTACCTTTCCTATCATAGGCCGCACTTCACATTTCCTAAACCGATACATGACCCCCAATTTGATTACGTGGATGAAGAGGAAGTTACCCCGGAAGAACGCCCGTCGCGTGATGCCTATGCCGGAGACACCGAAGCAGGAGAATTAGGTATAGGTAAGGAGGACTTCCCGCTCCAAACCAGCCCTTTCACGGTTTTACTTTTATTGTTTGATAAAAAAGGTCATTTGGTTTATCGGTTGGGGTGAAATGGCAGTTGTGCTATACAAATGATCGAAAAAAGAAATTAAATTTTGCAATAAGTAAGGCTGGGGAAGAAGTGTACCCGACCGAGTCGCATAAGAACAAGTTTCGCTAGAGCTTTGTAACAGTCTTGATTATTAGCCTGATTGTTTTTGCCAAAGCAGTGTGAGACGGGTGATCTCAATTTAAGTTGTACCGGTGTTTTACGTGAAAGGAGTCTCCGTCCGTTGCTGATGCTACTGTTGTCTCTGAAATATCTGTATCAAAATCACTTATGGCGGAAATCTGTTGAGTATTAACCCTATTACTCCCAGGAATGACCAAACATGAAATCCTCCAGCAAAATCCATGCATTTCCAAGCAAAAACGTGATGAGAAGTGAAAAAAATTATCCACTAGGGGGATATTGCGTAATTGACCACCAAATTCTTAGATCTGAAAAATAATGAATGACATACGGTTTGGAGAATCGCTATTTAGATCTTGTGGGTAAAGGGTTAAAACCATGAGGTGCACACACTTCTCTTACATCATGAAGTGCGTGAAATCATCTCCTTAGGAAACCAGCAACTGGTGGCTCTCCCTGAAAGTTCACCACTGGACAATGATGACCAGGAGCCGTGTTTAAACGTCATGGATAAATGGGAAATTCCTCGTATTACTGTGCATCGTGACAGCACAGGTGATCATACGCTGCCGGCTTCAGCAGACAACGCACCAAAACAAGAAGCAGAACCGCCAGCAGGGAAGAAAGGAACATTACACGCCTTGAGAAAGTAAATTACTGTTGACTTTAAGGTTTAAACAAAACTATTCCCATGTAAATATCTTACAAGCAAACCAATGCTTTTAGAGAATTATGGGTTTTTACTAACCCAAAAAAGCCATAATTTTCTTTCATTTTGCTGTTTACTTCTGCTTCAAAGCTGACCTCTTATTCCCCATTGTAAAGATTTCATGTATGTCAGCGGTAAATTTCAAACTTTTTAATTAGCAGTTATCGTGATTATTGATCGCCATTTGCATCTCGTTATTAGATATTCTCGAAGTTTAAGACCTCGTTTAAGCAGGGACTCTGCGGCTAAACTAACCTTGTATGGTGAAGATCCCGTGAAGGGTGTTGTTGGACCGGGCCAATTGAGAAGGGGAAGTTATCAAGGTGAAAATAAAAAGAGATTTTGACAACAGAATTCCTCACCATGCGTGGGTCTCGAAGTTAGGTTCTTAGTGTACATCAAGAAAAGTAGATAAAAATGAACTCTGTTGAAACGATAAAAATGACCGTATATCACAATTTTGGAACAAGGCGGAGGCAGTGTCTCTTTAAAAACAATTTTACTTTACAAGTTCAAAATCCGTTATACAGCCACCTTAGACTGATATACTTTTACATAATTTTACAACCTCTACGATGGACCTCTCTTTACCTATAAAGTGCATTTGAAACTTACGAGAGATGTTCTTTACGCGTCTGGTACAAAATCATTAGTTCGATCTCACCTATAAAATTGCATCAATAAAATGATGTTTAAAATGATTTAACTGTAAGCTAAGACTAAAGGAGAACAAAAATGTCTTTAAGAATTAGTGACTATCTCTTTTTATCGCAGGCCACGAACTGGGTTACCTTCGGATTGGTTTGTTCTCATCTCGAGGATCTCTTGAAGTGGAAATAATACGAGGAGTTAGCCTGTTAGTCCTTGGCGACCACCCACCAGGTATGGTATAAGTAATTGCTGCTTGTTCAGTCAAACTTTCCTGTGTTACCGCCTCCTTTAAGGACAACCTCTGCGAAGTGACCAGGCACTTTTCATAAATCTGATACTGAAATTCTGTCATTGAGATCGTTACATTTGGAGCGTCCCCTCGATGACCGCGACTTCTTTTTTTTTTTTAATAACTTGCCATTTACCGGTAAACTCATTTTAATTAATTAATTTTTAAGCAAAGCCGAACCAAACAAAAATAAAGATAAAATTGCTTCACTGACAGAGGGTCCTTTTATGGGTTTCACTTCTACACAGATACGTATGTGAAGACATATTTAATCAAGGATCAAGTCCGACTTCTTAAGAGAAAAACTTCCATCACTCGCCAATCCGTTAATCCAGTGTACAACTGCAAAATCAAATACTCTGGGTGCGAAGTCCATAACAGCGAATTATTGGTAAGCTCTAATGTAAACACCTATACGTATATTAGACAATTTCTAAGCTTAACGGCAATTCTTATCCATGCACCTGTTCCTGCTTTCTTTCGTTTGTATATATGTCCTTCAATCGATTCATTCATCGCCTCTTTTATCCATTCGTTGATTGGCCCTTCCATTTAGCCCTCAATGTGTCCATTGTTCATCTGCTTTTCTGTTTGTTTGTTTGTTTTGTTTGTTTGTCTTTTCTGTTTTCTTGTTTTCTGGTTCACTGTTTTATCCTTTCATATTTTTTATTTTTTCTCCTCCTATTCTTCCATTTGTTGGCGTCAATTTTGTCGTTCATCCTTCAAGCATACCTACATTTGCGTTCCATACATTAGCTCTTCCATTTCTGGATTCATTCCTTCATTCGATCTCTCACTCGTTCGCTCGACTTCACAATCATCCATGCCTTGTTTCAATCGTTCTTACATTGATACAGTCGTTTTTTTCATTTTGCGTCGAATGTTTCTAATCGATCATTTTATTTTACACAAACCATCTTCTTCAGGTGAGTGTTTGGTGCAAGCAGGGAATATTTGGGCGTAAGGTGTTGCTTGGAGAAGTGCACATTGCCCTGGGCTCTTTGAATCTCAGCGTTAAGCAGGTCGCTTGGTATAAGTTATTTATTGAGTCACAATTGAGTGACGACTGAGTGACACTAACATGATTCAACATTGGGGACCTCGTGCAAAGTGCTACGACAACAGTGGAAAAGAGAACGCGACAAAGGATGTCCCCACCAATAGCATAGCTTCATTTTTTTGTTTACAAACCGCACACAAACAACAATTCCTCTATTCACTCTGAAAGAAATTCTTTACGCCTGCTCTGAAAGAAATTCTTGACGGTGACCAATTTAAAATATCAGCTCAGTTGATAAAAAACAAGTTACTTTGCTATACTCCCCCACCAACGCAGCACCAGCAATGTAAGACCTCTTACTGCCATCTGTTTAACCTGTGAGTGAGCGTTTACATTTGGGTCTTGCCTAACGGTTCCTTTTCCGGGTAGAATAATTTGTTTTTATCAATTGAGTTGATAATGTAATTTGGCCTTCGTAAAGAGCTCCTTAAGCTGACGTTTCGAGCGTGAGCCCTTTGCTTTTCGCTTCGCTCTGAGGACGCAACCTACAGTTTCTTTAGAAACCTACCCCCTGTATTTATTAACCTTTTCCGGGCAGCTTACTACAGTGAACCATCGACAGCCGCTTATCGAAAAGTTATGAAGCCCCTGACCGGGCAGGGCCGGTTGACTTCCCTAAGTTTCTAACACTTAAAACGACTATGAAAGAATAAATCAGAACTACCAGACGATTATGTCAAGGGTGACACACTTTATTTATCTTGTTGTGTGGGAAGTTAGTGCTGCTGCTCTATTGCTACAAAGTATGATCCATTCCTTGCCTTTGTTTTCTGCAAAAAAACGTAGAATCAGAGAGAGCGAATTCTCTTTTACGTGTTAAATTCATAAAATCAACGTTTGAAAAAAAAACTTTTCCGCGTTCTATAAGTTGTAGCCATAATTTAATTTAAGACCACATAAACTAGACTAATATGACTCTGTGTAAACTGCAAATGAGCAGAGTAACGATAATTTTCATAAAAGATCAAGCAACATTTTTAAGTTTTCAAAGCATGTTTCCACAGTATTCGTGTCATCTTCAGTAGCACATGGTCGTTTTACAATTTATACTTAACATATATGTTATCGAACTATACCGTATAAGATTACGCTAATCAGATTCGTAAACTGACTTTGTGTAAGGTGTACTGTAACTAAACTCCCTTATGGCCCACAGACCGTGTCATCTAAGATTGTAGAAACCAATCCCCCTCCTAGCCCCAGTCCGCACGGCTAGTCATATAAGTTTAAATTTCGCGCGGATCATGCAAGTTAAAAAGGTGTGAGCTCGAGTTAAAAGATAATCGCCAGTTATGTCGATATCTTGTTTACACATCTACATTACTTGGACAAACTAACACATTGACTATTTCCCTTATCACTTCAATATCTCATTTTCGGTATATTTTACTTGTCTGCTCTCATACAATCTTACAGATTTGCATACCTTACACATTGCAACCATAAACCCTTATCTTCATGCAAACGAGTATAGAAGACCATGACTTTGGTACGAAGCGCAGGAAACTGGCTGTGATTGGATCCTTCAGCCAGCGTGTCTCTAAGGTGAATCGATCTGAATTTCCCGTAAAGATCTGCAATGGTGGTCAGTTATGCATGAGAGAACAAACGACGAACACACATTTAGACTAGACAGACCGAAAGACAAGTCAGCTGATTGATGAGACAAACGGACAGAAACTGAAAACAATATGGTAAGGGATATCAAAATTCCAAAATAATTAAGTACCTTATCATGACCATCCTCTTGGTAGGTGACCCATGCTTCTCCATCCTCGCTCCACTGAACTGTGTACAGGGTGACCCAGTTGTCCAGGTCGACACCCTGAGTGCCGACACCTAGAGTTACAAACATGTTTGATGTTTTAAAGTTAATCTCGGAAAAAGGTTGCACCTTCCTGGAACCTTGCAGAGGTTTCTTTCAATGGAAACCAAGAGCGCTTCCTCACAATGAACCAAAGTGTCGATAAATTTCTTTGAAACTAAATATAAACTACGATACCTGAAATTTTCTTTTCACCGTCCAAATCCACAATGATCCACTGAAACTTGTCAGAATTTTTCCCAGCGCACCAGGCGTTATTTTTTCGCACTTGTCCGCTGCTGGCTCGTGCTGTAATAGTAAGCTCAGAAGAGCAGGCTAAGGAAATAACACGTAAATTATCATCATGCTTCATATAACATAACGCCCCGCAATTTTCATATGATAGGTATGTTCACTATAACCTAAAACATCACTCAACCGACGCCCAGTATTCAAAGCTATAAACTGCTCTATGACTCTTTCATTTCTTCCTCCTAAATTACTTTTCTGTAGCGCAGTTTGATTTAAATTCTCGGCCCGTGAGAGATGGAATGTAACGAACATCTTTGCCTTACGGTAAGTCGTGAAAGAAGATGAAAAGAAAAAAAGTCGTCAGTGGCAATATTTTCAAGTGATAATGAACTTGTTGTATAGTTGACGTGCCTATTATCTGAGACACAAAACCTAAAGTGAATGAATTTATAGACCACTCGTAAAATCAGTTTAAACCAAACAACACATTTTCCATCTCCTCTCTGATGCTGTTTATGGTACAAATTAGTTTTTAGCAGCATTTGGGCCCGTGAGAAAAATGTTTTTTAATCACAAAATTGGCACTATTCATGTAATATCATGAGCTAGATGAAGAATGTCCCGAAAGGGTTACCCTTATGATCTAAGATAAAGATGTGAGCAGTTTTAACTGATAAAACCCTTTGGAGGAACACAGTATCGTGATCGGGTATGCAAAACGTGCAACCCTCTTTCACAGAGCTATACCTGCCATTACGTCTATTACTCAAACTATTGCGAATACTTTCCTCCGAATAATGGGGAACCTGATCGTCGTGGAAAGGACTCTCACACCCCATCTTCTAAAATTTCTGTCTTTGTATCGTGGCACTTTCAAAGCTATATTTATACCTATTCAATTTTCAACACCCGATATTGCATTTCCAGTGTTCTGATTGGTTTATTCAACTCTGTAAGTCAGCCCATATATTCACTGAATAACCTTATATGGAAACTAATTTAGCCTAATTTTTCTTAATTTTAGTGTTGAAACAAATCCACTGAGCTCCCAGCATAAACGAAAGGCGGTTAATTCAATAAAATAATTCTTCCATTCGCGCTCACGCATTCGTTGGTTATTTACCATCTCATATCCAACACGCGCTCGAAGAATAATAGCTATATTATCGAAGCGCCGTCTCTTTCAGTTAATACAGTATTACGGGTTACTTACGTGGGACGTCCTCTATCCGGTAAACAGCGTTTGCTCTGTTCTTACCGACCCCTTCATAGCAATCTTTAGACACCCCATCTTTTGCAAACGTTTTCCCTGCATTTTCTCCGCTCCAGCACTCGCCAAAGAACTGCACCGAGAAATACTCATATCTGCCAGGACAAAATTAACGGCTCCTAAATAAGAAGTGTTTGCCGAACTGCGGGCATTTTAGTCTAAGGCTCTCGAAACTATTTAATATTAACTTCTTAATAACCGATCACAAGGGCCTTTCTGGCGAATATTGGCCCGAGGTCTAGGCGGAGAGCAGCAAGGTCTGTCCGAAAATGAACGAGGGCTAATATTGCCCGGTATGGCTCAAGCAAGCAAAATTAGTAAGTAGTTTATTATAAGGCACTCAGAATAAATTAATTTTTTTTAATTTGCCAGCTTTCACGGGAAAAAAGGCACGGCTTAGGACCGTTCGTGAAAACGGTCCGTATGGCAAAATCCTAGCCAAGTAAATAACAAAGGAACGTCTACAAAGACTTACCTCAGGACTACCTTGCCATATCATAACACCGATTACGAGTTCGTTTCTTTTTCCTTTCTCTGGTTACCCATTGCTAGAATATTTGAATATATTTTGAATATCTGATGGAGACACCGAAAACAAAGATTCAAATAACCTGCTCTTCTGCGCCTCAGCTGCACAAGCCTCTACCGTCTTTCTTAGGTTGTACCAATCGATTTCTTTCCTCTTATTTGCAATTAACATCGGCAGCGGACGAGGATCTTTGCCTTTATCTTTGAAACAGCCAATGTGTACAAAGGTCGGTGGTTTGACTTAAAAACAAAAAATATAATTCATTGTATAAGCATTAATTCTTTCCCAGAAGCTCTTTGGCAACCTATGAGACGCCTGGAATTATGAAAATGAGACATGATACCTCGCATCATAAAAGAGTTTCGAAGTTTAACAATGTTATGGATTCTCTGTCTGACTTCATTCCCGTGACAACGAATACACAAAGTTCAGGAAAAGTTCGAGAATATCAACAAATTCGCCGAAAGTAGAAACATACGCAAAGGGCGCGAAAAATGGTGGAAAAGCGCGCGTGTGCACATTTGGCGCGAAAATCGAAACAAAGGCATCTAGTATAAACAATTGAAATTGCTATTGCTTGTAGTATTGACCATTCTTCATTTGAACAGAAATCAAAAATGAATATGCCCTCTTATCTCTTACCTGTACCGGCAGTTGTTGGTGCTACTGTGGTTGGAGGACGAGTAGGTGGAGCAGTAGTGGTCGGTTTTCCTCCAGGTCCTCCACTGAGACCTGGGATTCAAGAAAATCTCAAATATTATCATTTAATGTATCATTAACCCAAAGCCTTTTAAAAGTGATATTTGACTCGCACGGGGGGAAATCGAAGCAACATACCCATATGAAAGCAAAAAAACCTCACTTTAGACAGTTGAATTTCACTATGCAACACCGAAAATTCCAAAAGGTTTCAGTGTTTGAAATGTTTCGTGCTACCATCGTCGGTATCTATCATTCGTACATGTGGTAGTTCAGCCCTGTATTCGGCTACAATGACTCACTTTAGTCACGAAAATGTATTTCGTCGACTTCAACATCATGATCAGATCCTCGTTGTCATCATTATCATTATGATGATCATCGTTATTGTACTGCCATAATAAAAAACATCTCTTTATCACTTACAGTCTTCTCTTTCCTCTTTCTCGTCATCTCTACACCTTGTTGGTATTCCTTTACAGTCATCAGCCTGTCTGATCTTCTTGAAGCCATCTGACTCATTTTTAACTCTCATTTCAACAAAACAATTGGTCTCGGCGTTGAAACTCTTTCGCGTCCAGTTTCCCCAAGAACAAATTATCTGATTACAGTTACCTGGGAATTGCAGATGAGTGCATCGAAAATGAATAGGCATACAAATAAATGAAAGCAGTAATTCCTTTTTCTGGCCTCTAAGTTCGTAAAAAAAAGGAAAGAACTGACAAGCACTATTTGCTTCATCGAGTTCAGTTTATGATTACTTTAACCTTATCTTTCAGCTGGGCCCAGTTCTTTGAAGGCCGATTAGCTTTGACCCAGGATTAAATTTAATCCGGGTTTCTTTATTCCTGTGTTCAGAAGCCTTTTTTACATAATTTTTTTGTATTCTTTTTAGAGCATCCAATAATCAAGTTTTAAACAAAAAGAATTATACAAGATCTAAAATCAGACCACACACCAACCCTGGGTCATCTAAACCCAGCTTTGAACAACCCGGCCCAGATTTCTCTTTGGACTGATCAAGACGAACCTGAAAGCTATACATATTTTGTGCCTCTGCACCCGCCTACCATCACATGGTGACTGACTACGGTTATTATCAACTGACGAGTTTAGAACACTTTTAATAATTTTTAAAAACTATTTTTTGGCTCATGACTTTTATCTTATTTCAGTTGTATGTCTACTTTTTAGTCAATAAGATTTAGTTTCTTTGATTGACACTGTCTCCACACTCTAGGAGTGAAGCGGAAACGGAAGGAGTTTTATCTTTTCACTCCCAAGATTTCATGAGTAATCGTCCTTATCGTCTGCTATACATTCCTACTAATGAGTTATTTCACATAATTTGGTACTGGGTCGACTAATAATCTCCTAAATGATGTTTTATTTACTTTCATTATATGTCTGTTTGATGTTGTATTAACATTATGAGAGAATCTGTCTTGGTCACGTTTGGGAGTTAACAAGATCTTTCACAATCGACTTACATTCGGTCCTGGCCTCCTCTCGAATGGCACGACACGATTCCAAACCATCACATGTTCCTCTTTCAATCCATTCAAGCGATTTGTTAAAGTCACGTTTTCGAATTTGTACAGCACATCCCACATCCGGAATCTTCTCTGACCAAGCGCTCCACTCCTTCAGCACACAGTCTTCTCTAAAGGAACAATTACCTACAAGCACAGATTTTTTTTCAATTTGAATCGTCTGCTGGGACATGCAAGACAACAGTCACATGAAGAAAACCGTGAAATCGTAGCTTGGTAACAACGAAAACACAATGGTGGAAAGAGGATTGGAAATGCAAAAAAATGGCCTCTAGTAACAGGAAAAGATATTTCCGACTGAATTTTTCAAGAGGTACAAAACTTGAAACAAAATAACTTCTTTGACTGCGGTAGAGAACGGTGGAAAATAAGGCAAAAAAGAAAGTTTGCTTTTGAATGTCTATTCCATTCTGCCATTCTTCGACACTTTTTCCGAGTATCGAAATCTCTCTGTGGCACTCTTACTTTAAAAAAACAAGTTTCATTTTGTTATATCAGTTTTTTTCTAATCAATGGTAACTCTACTCCGTCCACTAAAGAGCCTTTCAGGTTTCAGGTCTCCCCCATACGTGAAGTAAAAGTGTCTCCTTAAAATTTTCGTGGATCGAATTGGAACTTAATATTGTATCAGGTTCACAATTCTTGCCCTTGTCACTTGTGTCATTTCCTCATTTCTTCTTCGTGTCATTTCTTCCTTAATTAAGAGAGAGCGCTTGACCTGATACGAAATGACTCCCAGACACCGCCTTGAATTTGATTTACTCGAACCTCTCAACCCCGACAGCCGTTATATAAGTAACAAATTTAGGTCCTTACACCACGTCCTTGTCTCTGGTGGCACCTCGGGGCAGGTGGTCTGAAGTCCTTGACAGTTTTCTGCTTGGATCTTTTCGTGTTGGGTCGTGGTGACATCTTTTGTTCTTATTTGTTGCGCACATCCGTCCTTCGGTAGTTCACCTTTCCAAGGATTCCAATCGCTGATTTTGCAACTAACATATGCACATTTGCCTGATGCCAAAAGCAATAAAACATTACCACATTTAAACATAAACCACGGCACGGTAGAAAAGGAAAGAAAATCTAGCCTTGTGTTTTTGTCTTTGAAATGACACTCGTTTTCAACAAGTCTGTCAATAAGATATCTATAGTAAATAATTTTGAATAATCATTTAGTCGATTAATTCGTTGATGGATAAATCAGTAAACTATTAGGATCAAGATAAAAATATTGTTTTTGATCATTTGATTTTCATAGTTAATGAAACCTATTCTCACGTTCACCTTGTCAACAGTGCGAGTACCAGATGGATTGTATCATTCCGGCGGAATGAAATTTATACATTTTAGATTCAAGTATCAAATAGGTGGCGTATATTATATTTTGACGACAGATACAATTCATCTGCTAAGTATACAAACTTTTTTTCACGAAAACTATAAACTTACAAATTGTTCTTGTTTCCTCTTTCGCGGCTGGACAAGAGGTGACAAGTCCATTACAAGTCTCTCCAAAACTGAACTTTTCTTTAGCAATGTACTCCCTCGTTCGTTTCTCCTTCCCACACTGCTCTGGGGCCAAGGCAGGACTGCTCCAATCAGACCACTCACCGAGATCACATTCCACGTATTTGCATTTACCTAATATTAGTCATACGACCGGAAATTTATTTAGTGATAAAAATCACGAAATTTGTTCCCAATGTAGGTTTTTAGGTTAAAATTCTTAGGTAATTTTGGGGATTGATAGGTAGGAATTGAAAAGCTTAAATTTTCAAGCTGGTGGTATTCCCCAGTTACAAATTAAGTGACGATTGCAACACTTACATCGTATCACACCTCTACCCCTGCCTCGCACACCCCTCCGCCTGTGTACCACGCATGTTCATTTGAAACTTTTCTGGCATGTATTCATTCTTTCATTTCTTCATTTATTCACCCTGCATAATTTTAATCAAATCTATTTTCATGTTACTTACAAAAATTCCTGCTTTCCTTCGGTCTCGTCACACAAGACGTTAGTAAGCCACTGCAATCTTCCTGCAGCGAGTGTTTCAAAGGATGAACGTAATCTCGCGTCCTCGTCTGTAATTCACATCCTTCCTCTGTTATCGGGTTTTCCCATTCACCCCAAGGTTTGAGATCACAGGAGTCTCTGTATCGGCATTTGCCTTTAAAAATTTATCACCAAGTAAGCTTTGATTCAAAATTAAACGATGGAAACAACGGGGAAAAGGAATTCAGGCCCCGATGAAACATATCCCAGACTTCCTAGTTGGACACTGCTACCTCTTGAGTTATCAGTATGAGGAATTTTAACTTTGTTCGACTCTTATATCTTATTTCTATTTGAAAACAGGTTTTCGCGATGGTGGATTAAGTCCATGAACCAAAGAAAAGTTCCCCGGCATGTTGCAGTATAATCCATGGCTATTGTACATTAAGGTATCTTCTAAGATGACCTTTACTTATTATACGCTCATAAAAACAATTTTATTGCACCAGTTATTTTTTCTTTTTTAAATGTTTCATTTATTCACCATCCTATTGAATATAGTCTTATTGTACGATTTATTTCGAAAGGAGGAGGTAATATGCCCACGTATGACTCACTTAAGTAACGCCCTTGCGCATTAAAACAACATGATATGGTTCCAAGTTTTTAGAGCTTACCGAAATCAAGATAATATTATCTCTTGCTGAGATGAATAATTTCTTGTCAATGATCATACGTAAACTTACATTGCGTTCTTTTATCGACGATGTCGTCTGGGCAAGTTTGTGGCAGGGGTGGACACTTGTCAGCATGCATCTGATATTGAAAAGTTAGGGCATATGTCTTCCTCCTCGTCTGTTGCTGACCACATTGACCTTCTTGGAGCTCCTTTGGTTCCCACTCTGACCAATTACCGAGAGAGCAGGTGGCATATTTACAGCTACCTGTTTTATAATAAATGAATAAATATTATAAGTCCATTTTCATCCAAGATCTGGGAATTTTGGCTTGTTTGTTGGTCTGGTTGTAGTTTAAACTGACTGTTTATCAAAACCGCACTAAAACTTTTGGCTACTTACAATTTGTACGGGTTTCTTCAAGAGCCTGTGGGCACTTTTGAGGAAGATTGGCTGGACATTCGTTGACGTGTTGTTCATAAACAATTGACTTGGTAAACCCCCTTGTTCGCTTCTGCTGGCCACAAGTTCCCTCCGCGACAGAGCCTTTCCACTCGCCCCAGTCTTCCAACGCACAATCCGCTTTGGGACAGCTGCCTGCAAAATTTATGAGGCCACAAACTCAGTTTGTTGTGTAATCCATGTTGTGTAAATCGAACAGGGAAATTGAGTGCAATTGATAATTCTGATAAATTACTAGCTCAGACGACAACCCTTATCAATGGTGGCTATCAGTTCGACATAGCTTAAAAGTATGTTCCGACTTCTTCGTCAAGTGCCATTCTCTTTAAAAATTTTCGGGGAATAATACCCTTTTTAGATAGATAAATGAGGCTAAAATGCTAATGTCTTGTAAAGCTGCGAGGTGTTTATTTGTAGGACAGTGAAGTGCCAGGCCAGGTGATTAGTTCGCCATCTACGGACCATCAAAATGGAAATAGATGAGTTACTTCAAGCACTTACACATCTTTCGATAGTCTGTCTCTGGAAGAGGACACTCAGTTGGAACGGAATTACATGAACCAGTCTGTTGCTCCAAAGACCAGGTCAAAGTGTATGGTCTGATTCTATTCTGCATCCCACAGCTTCCCTCTGTTATGTTCCCAATCCACTCCTCCCAAGATCCATGCTGGCAATTAGCTTTTCGACATACACCTGGTTTAAAACAGGCCAAAATAACAAAGTCGAAAAACCCAGTAGAGTCTAACGGCAACGATTGTTGCTAAACATCATGATCTTTTCAATAAAACAAGAAGGTAGCGAAAGCCTTTTCCCTGGCCTTTTGAACAAAGAAACAAACACAAAAAGCTAAAATCGTTCACATCATTAGATCACTAGTTTACTGCAAGGTTTAAGTCGAAAAAAGAAAGATGAAATGAGTTAGTGGCTGTTTTTTTCTACGCGCATGAAGCTGAGCCAGGCAAAAGTATATATACTTGCCGTAACACTCCCTAAAAGTTATCATCCCCCCTCCAAAAAAGGTTATTCATTTCTTGCCCTCTGACAGTCATCCAACCTTTTTGGGAAGACACTATGTTCAGTATGGTTTAGTATGGTTAGAAAACCTACAATATTTGAAACGGTAAAACTGTAAAGCTTTCAATAAAGAAATATATTAATCTTAAAGGGAGATACCAATCCCAAATGAACTACGATTCTAGAGCCGTAGAGAGAGGGGTGGAAGAGGGACTTATCAGCTTACCAGCATAGGGGCTTATCTCAAAATTCTGGACGCAGGGATCTCTCGAGGGGGATGTCATATCAGAAAGGAGCTTTTATAGAGATGAAAGTTAACCGGATCGTGACTTAAAGAAATACAAACTTTTATTTCACGAGTGTTGGTAAAAAAGGAAAACAATTCCAGATTTTCCTGTAAAAAAAAGATGGTGTATTTCAAAAACTGGTAGTTTTAACTTACATTGCCGTCGCCTCTGAACTGGTGGAGCAGGACACCCAATGTTGAGTCCACCACAGCTGAAGCGTCGATATTGAGTTTGAAGTGGATGGTTGTATGGTTTCGATCTTATCTGCGGGTAACATCCAGGTTGCTGAGCATTTACCACTCCTCGCCAGGTTCCCCACTCACCAAAAGTACAGTCTTCTCGGTAAGTGCACGGCACTGTGAAGTGAAGAATTCAGTGCATGAGTTCTAACTTTCTACCAGAATGAGGGAGGTGGGGGATTCATTTAAGACGTCTGGGTAACGCCAATGCGTTTATGAAACCATGGCTCTCTTTTAGAAAAATCTGCTCAGTCGGGGACCCAGTTTTAGCTATATACTTTGTAGGTTGTAAAATAAAACAACACGGAATTCAGAATACTATGCATACAGGAAGAGAACTCTCCACCAATTTCACTCCTATGTCAAGGTGTCCGGTCCGAAAAGAGCCCAGTTTAACGTTCAGAATTTTAAATTGTTTTTCCCTGTCGAGGACCTAAGAGCACGAAATCCATAGTCTTTCTAATCACTAGGGCAAATTAGGCACTTGGCTTCCCAACCCATCCCCTGCCAAACTATAACCCCTATATGAAAATTGTGCACCTGAAATAAAATTTATCTGTAAGATATTGACTAAACGACAAACACAAACCTTTGCAGTTTTTTCCAAATTTATGGCAAGTGTAAGTGTAATAATATTCATACTGAAAAAAAAAAGAAAGAGAAACGTGCATTTCACGAAATTAGCACTTATTCATAACTGACCTTTAGTATCTTCATGAGTGCGTAATTATTGAGGCATGGCATCACAACGTTTTCAGTTCATATCACGGTCATCACAGATGGAACGTTTCCCGAAAAACTTTGGAACTGGTTCGGTGCAAGTTTTCACATTAATTACACAATGTTTCGTTCACAAACCTATGTTAGAAAGTCTCATCTTTAGAGAGTTATCATGATAATATAAGACATACCCCCTTTTTTGAGGCTCCGAATACTTCTTCAACCTCCTCAAAATCACATCCCTCATGATAACATTCGTGATAAATGCCTCTTGGCACACGCGACTTAACTACCATGAAGCTGTTAGCATCTTCTGGGCTGATCTGCACATCATCTGTAAAATAGAGCGAGCGTGATTTAATGCAAATTTATAATTTACTTTAATTCCTGGCTTCTCACTCTTTCACCCGTGCCCGAATCTTTTTCAGTCTTTTAGCCCTAAAAAGAACGCCCCATCTTAGTTAACCTCGTTACGACATTGAAAGAACCAAATGGTACATAAGATTGGGAGGTATCTGTACTAAGTAACTGCGATCATATCTTTTATGGATGGATTTGCAACGATCCTGGCACTCGGAAACGTCAGCTTTTACACTCTGTTAACCGTGGCCAATTTACGTTATTAATTCAGTTTATAATATTTCGAGTTCGAGGACTCCAGAGTGAACACTGCTAAGGAGAAATGCAAGCGTCGAAAGGATTGGGCCAATCAAGAAACGTCCTGCAGCGATCAGACCCTCCCCTGTCCCACCTGCTCCAGAATATGTAAATCCAGAATTGGACTTATCAGTCATCAGATGACACGCCGCCCATAGGAGCTACACGACGTTGTTTATCGATTGAACCATTTTAGTAAACTTCTAGTCATAATCCACCTCAATAAATGTTGTTGAAAAAATCTTAATTTTATATAAGCTGTTCAAACTATCTATGGTCGGAGAGTTTCACTGATTTGAAAGAAACTACCAAGTAGGTGTGATATTAAACATTTGCATCCTGAAAACGGTCTTATTTGCACTATCGGCAACGTGGCCTTTCCTAGTTAAGGTTAATTTGCATCCTAATTTTTTTCGGGATGTATTTCACTGAGGTGTCGAACATGTTGGGAACTTTGCAGGTCTGCAGCCATCTTATCATTTTTATCGAAGGCGTAGCCGTCGAGATTCTTTAGTAAAAACTTTTTTATTAGATTCGTTCTCGTTTCCTGATATAATCGTTGCCTTAATTTAAAAGTTACTAAAATCTCGATCTAAGTTAAGTTCAGTTAAGTACGACGCAGCAAACGAAAAACTGCTTTTGGGGATGGGAAACCACTAGACCTTTAAAGGGCCTCAGGCCTAATCTCAAACTCAGTTTAATTCGTCCTATTCGACCGAATTACTGGTGAATGTATAGACTGCTTTACATTCAATTTCCATATAATCTGCCCCAATGCATGGGCATTCTCGGGATCGTTTGGGGTGATCTGGACGATTGTAAGAAACCTTGGCTTTGACAGAAAAACTATTTGGACAATGTGAGTCTTTAAAATGACAGAAATCAAACCCTCCATAAATTGAGTGTCATTTCAGTATTTTTACAAGGTGCGTATTCTTTTTTGACCAGTATTGTGAGTTCGAAGTGGGAACTGGCTCAGTGTACAAAGTGTGGTTTATAATCAAAAGGAAATGTTGACTTCCTACTTCATTTAGCAATTGTTTCATTCCTACAATGGCTGGAATGGGTGACAATGGCGTCTCGACGAAAAATACTAGCGTGAACGGCTGTTTCCACACAGAAGGGCTACTGTTTACCTTTAGCTAAGCCTGATCTTTGTACTCTTGTCTTTTTAGCTTAAGTTGTGCGTAATTGCGTTTGGTTGCAAAGAAAGAAAAGGTCGAGGTGTTAGTCGACAGTAGGTTGGAATCGCAGAGTACAGTAAGTCATCTTTAGAAAGGATTCATGAAGGCAGCAACAAAAATCTTCCCTTCACAAAAATGAATATTTAAATTTTCACCTCATTGCTGAAATACTTGACAGTCTCAAAAAACAACTGCCTATATTTAGTTTTCAGAGTTATTTATACAAATATCCCACAGAAACAAGCTCAAAGGAGAAAATGTTCCTCCAAAGAAAAGGTTCCGCAAGGCTTATTTCTTGCTCGTAAATAATTCTCTTGCATGCATAGCAGATCTGTGAAATGTAATTGGGTCATCTGAGACCTAAAGAATAAGGAATTTATAATTTGAAAATAAGAACAGTTCTTTCAAGTAATTTTTTTATCCGCATGAATACCGGTAAGAGCTGGTTTGCCTTTAGATAGGAAAATTTGTCTGTGGAAAGCTTTGGGAAGTCTTAATTTATATTTATGTTTCATTTTTTGCATTTTTAAGTTCAGGCTTCAGTCAATTCGAGAGAAAAGCCGGCACCACCTCATATGCAATTGAGAGCCTTCAAGCGAAGTCGAATGGTGAAGGGAAACAAAAAAAAAAACGTTTTCTGATGAGAGCAATCAATTCATCAAAGTAACAGTTATTGTTAAGATTAGGACATTGTTTACCTTTTCCAAAGGCGCTCAGCATAAAAATATTCAAAAGTAGAGAAGTAAGTTTCTCCATGATTCTTCACAACCTTCTCTGCTCTCAGCTACGCTTTGATAAAATGCAGTCGACCGGGAAAGTTCACAGAATACATAATGCTCAGTAAAAATATTTATTTAGCTGCCAAATCTTTTCCATGTAAGCAAGCCACTAAGAAACTATTCTTTTGTATTTAAACGAGTTCTACGGTTTTTGTTTAAAAACTTAAAAACTGATTGCGCCATAAATTGGAAGCAACTCTATAAAAACTGCTTATTATGAATGTATTTGATGCTGGTAAGGGTAATTTATCCACAATGATATCACTTATGCTAGAATGGTATCTTTCAAATAGGGATTATGGGGATTACAGATCAGTTAACGATTGGCAAATAGCTAGAAAAAGTAATTTCTTCACCGTGCGACACGTTTTAAACGCATCTCAGCCTGTTCAGTACTTAACAACGCCAAGTAACTGCTATTATACGATTTCCTGTTCTCAATAATGATAGCGCTAAAAGTTGCACAACGTAAGTTGGGTTTTTCATTCAGTCTTTTAAACTAACCTTTGGAAGGCGAACGTGACGTCACGGTTGCTATCAGAATGGCAGTTAAAATGCTGCCGGTCAAAATCTTCATAGCAGTTTTAAAGGAAACTAACCACATCACTCTACTTAAGGAAAAAACAACAATAGCAATTAGAAAAGTTCAAACCAAAACTTGAGCGTCAGAATATATTCCTCACCGCTGACTGCGATAAATTGCGGTGGTTAGAAACATTTAGAATCTAAGAGGAACAATGACTATGATTGCCGTCTGTATGCAGGGGTTAAGGGGTGATTATGGAGAATCTTTAATCCTCGGAAGAATAAGGAAAACTGCCTTAAATTGGGAAATCGAAGATGGTATAAAATATTTCAGTAAACGCGGCAATCTGTAAATTAACAGAAATTGAAGGAAAATTGCTCTTCATTACAGCAAATTAACGAGAAAGAAATGATTTAATTTGAAATGAACGAAAATAACGCGGCCTCACTGAGAAACATTATTTGTTAAGAAAACAGGAAAAGTTATAACTTAACATATGGGGAGAAAAATTTGCAACGGATAAAGTGTTGGCAGAATTAGATAGGTGAAGAAGTAATGCACTTTCAACGTTCTTCTTATGCTTTAATTTATCGAAAGTAAAGTATGCGACGTAAGAGATATGTGGCCGTGAAAAAAGTTGGAATTGTATCAAGAAATTGGGGAGAAGAAAGTGCAATCAAGGTCGTGGAAATGAGCGAGCTATTTAATTAGTGATGCGGATATTAAAGCTGGCTAATTGAAAACTTTTTTTTCTCAATTTTCACGTTCATTTCTCTTAATAAGGTAACTTGCGACAAAATTTATGATCCTTCCAAAAAGTTTAGGGTTACTCGTGTGGAGTCATTAAAAGTCACTTAATTTTCGCGATTTTGACAGTAGTAATGTGTTTTCTTTTGTAGTTTTGTCTCTGGAAATGACACCCGCCACTCGGCGAGCGGGAACGAAAACTCGTCCTGAAGATAATGAAAAGCGACCTCGCGAAAATTATCGAGCAATTTAATATCAGTGCCGCGGATATTAAAGCTAATATTATTGAAACGTAAATTAAGGAATTTACGTACATTTCCTTGCGATAAGGAGGCTGTTGAAAAACGATTGTCGATTCAAAAATTTCGCAGTTATTGTCATAAAAAAATTCTTTTTTTGTACAATTTATACATCGAAAAACACCACTCGGCTAACTGGAACAAACTTTTCACGAGATCGATATCAGACCTCCCCCATCCCAAGAAGGGGAGGGGGGAGGCACTCCTCAGTGCCGCCCGTTTCTCCAATCCCGACCCAATTTCAAACCAAAAGACCCCTGCCATCTCCAATACTCTTTTCAAGACCAGACTTTTAAATTCTATTTCCTTTCTCAGACGTGCCGGCGTCTAGAAACTGGTAAAATCCGCTCACAATGTCAGCTTGAATTATATAATTTTGTTACTTTTCGATTCCTTCTCCAAGATCGGGTAGATTCCTCTCGAGTCGAAGAGGCAAATAGCGGCATACGCTCTCGTGCCTCCATTCGGAAAACCAAACCTGGTCGACGACAATAAGTTAAGTTGGGTTTTTGATTGTTTTTGGATCAAAAAACTATACTTTTTTAGCTGTCGAAAAGCATGGATGCTGTTTGCAAAAAGTTATAAAAGTAAATAGTGATTACAGGCAGAAGACAGTTTTCTTTGAATTGTTTACATTGGTCAAGTCCTTTATTTTGGGTAACTTCTCTCCGGGGAATTCAAATATCTTTACATTTGTTCTCCTTTGTTTCACATTATCGCTTTACCTTTAGAGTGCACAATGTGCACAATGCAACGGGAACGAAAGGCGCTTTAATTAAATGAATGAATTCAAACCAGCACTTGGAAGTTCCCAAACGAGAAGAGAAGAGTTATGTCAAAATTTTCAACCTGATATTAGAAAAAGCGAGCTTGAATCAAGATAAAACATCTTAGGAACTTGAAAATGGAATGTATAATCGAACAAGTGAATCGAATCATGTCCGAGAATAGGGTGTTGTGTTTAAATGAATGTCAGCAGGGGAAATAACCTCATTAACAGGACAAATGCAATTATTCTAGGAATACATGTTCAGTTCCAATTATGAGTGTAACTAAGGCGATGAACAGGCGTACAAACTACGCAGAAAGTTACGCCCCACTGAGACCTTCTAATAACTATCAACCGTCAAAGGCCCAAGAATTCAATCTTCAACCTGCAAAATCCCAAAACTGAACCTTCAACCGTCAAATTCAGAAAAAAAATAATCAGTCAACCCTCAAAGCTACCCCCCATTGCTAGCCTGATTTATCTATACTTCATCCTTTTCAATTCAGGTAAGGGTACTCATCAAAAAATTCCCTTCTTACTCATCAAGGATCGCGTTTGAATCCCCTGGCATCACCATTATATTGGTCTCTGATGATTCTCCAGGTAGAGAGGGATTCCCTTTTTTATGTGCCTGTCTCACCAAATAATAATGCATCGATGAACCTGTGCACTTGCAAATGGTCGGCAACGCCTTTAGTATCTAGTTTTAGCTGCTCTCAAGTTATTGATCTAAATCATAAACAGTACTTTTGCTGTGATGAATAATTGTTCAGTCTGGAAGAAACTTAACTTGAGCCACTGACAGAAAGTATGTACAAGTATTTGTACTCAGTGGAAAAATCTTTACTTCAAATTATACCGCAATATTCTCTATGCGGCGTTGGAGGCGAAATACATATCATTAAAAGCACTGTTTTTTTTAGTATGCACAATCCCCTTCTCTAAAATTGTATATCATGCTTATGCTAAGTAAGTTAGGACCTACCTTATTGCCTTCATTACGAGAATACGGGAACAAGCTTTAGCTGGTAACTTCCTCCACTCAATAAACTTTGATGAGACGTTGGCGACAGCTTTGTACTCACTTTACTGATGCTTGAGAACAGTTTGACTTAAAATATACTTCAACGGTGAATAGCTGATCTTCTTGTAAAACACACGGGAGACAAAACAATAACAAATGTGTTTATCCGCCCAACTGAGCACAATGGGTTTTAAACTTTTGTTATCAGAACTAATGATTAAATCTTCAGCTCAAAGATCTGTCACGGTCGCTAAACAATATCACTAGATGATAAGAAGAGTACGTTAAAAGATATTTCTAGAACATACCACGATGATGTCCCAGAAGGCCACAGAGGATTTCAACTTTTAATAATTTTTTTGAGACTCGCGGGGAATAATGATGAGTCTAACAAGTCTCGTGCGAGGGGAGGAGCGCGAAGAAATGTCTAGAAAAGGTTTATATTTAGCTCGCTCTTTCTGATTGGTGAAAAACCTATCGTTCATTGTACCCGTAAACATATTGCTACTTTGTCATGAAATCAATTTACCGCTCTTTAAATCCGTTTACTGGAATAATAACCCACTTGGAATGTTGGGAGAACAAAAGAAAATTTGTGCTTACTCGCATAAAACAAGCTTTATCAATGTTAGATATTGATCCTGCTATTGAATTTCCTGCTTACTGAGTCATATGATTCTAGACGAAGTAAAGCACTGGAAATTCAAAACATTAGGTCGCCTCCGCAGCTCTGCTGTAATTTGAAGTAGTTAGTGGAGATTACTAACAAGGAAAAAGCCGATAGATTCCTTTCCGATGGGTTGTTGCTTGTCTTTTCTATACTTCTGAACGTTCTAACGTTTCAAAAGTATTCCAATTACTTTGAATTAATCAGTAGACAATAGAAACCTTCCACCCTTGGGACAAGCTCATCCAGCAAACAGGGGAACCTTCACGGTCACCCTAATGGGAATGGCAGCCCGGGGTGACCGCTTACTACAGATTGACTGCTAAATACAGGTTCCACCGAACAGGAATCAAACACCATAAAAATTCCTTTTTATGCCATAATTAATCACTAAATCTTAACAGTTTATTATAGTACTTAATCAAAAATGCTTTGACCCTTATAAGCAGAATAGACAAAATGGTAGCGCAGCGCATTAAAGAAAATATTAAGGAGCTAACAGTCAGACCATTGGGAAATTATAAAGCAAAGGACTTGTGTGAAGCTCGTGCGCAACATCTGTCCTAACAGTCCTAAGAAAGATAATTTGAAATCAGCGTTGGGTTGTTTGGTTACCGGTTCACTTCCACGAATGAAGTCGTTGACTTTGCTAAACGCAAGAGAAAGTTCCTGGTGAAAAATTTCACGTGTAATGAGTAAAGGACATTTGAACTGATTTCGGAAGCCTGAAACATGGATTTCATTTTACTTGAGAGATTATTCTTAATTCTATTCAAGTGGTTCCGCTTTAATTGAGCGTTCAATGCATGTGGAGGACAATACAAACAGGCCGTTGGAACTCAGTCAAGGGTGACAACGACCGCTTAAGAAAAGTGAAAATTGACGGTGACTGCTAATACGGTGCCGCTCAGGTTTGATTGAATTAAGTAGACGTGACTGGTAAGAAAAACTTGGAAAAATCAAAGACAAAAAAGCTGCTGCAGATTCTTGTGGGGGCCCAAGGACTGTGTACAATCTTTTGTAATTATGTCTACTCATTGTGAATGAATATATTAACTATGGTTTAAAAACGTCCTCCCTCTCAGGACGCAGAAGGAAGGAGTGGTTGCGTAGAGAGAGATGGTCAGCGGATCTTCCTATCACAGACTCCATAAGACCATTTACATGACGTAAATACGATCGCCATTTTGCTCTAATGGTGCAACACTGTAGTTCTAGTCGAAGAACTTCTTGGTGATACTGAAGGAGCCTTTTTTCTGTGAGAAAGGATGGTTCTTAAAGCACTGACACGTAAAAGCGTAACAATTAGTGTTATCCTGTTCGGAGGAGTTTTTGGTGGAGCTCTTGGCCTTTATATTCGAGATAATTGGGATATTGAAGCCAGGGTAAGTCTGAGATGAATTTTGCTCATTTGGTGTTGGGTAAGATAGATGTTTAACTTAGGTTTATAAATGGATGGAAATTAAGATTTATTATTGTTAGAATAAATTCTCAGTTTCTTTGAAGTTTTTTCTGTGCCTTTGAGGGCTTCTATTGATTTCCCAGGTAATTGTCTCAAGAGTTTGTTTTCATTTGTAAGCATGTTAGTATTTTATTGTAAATCGAAGTTCTTTTATCTACATGAAAATTGTGGTATTGTCTACATAAGCAACTCAAGCCCATCCCTTAACCCTTTACATCCTAACATCAGTATGCATATTCTCCATACTGTTCTCTATACATTTCCTGAGCTGCTTACAAGGAGAATTTATTTAATTAGTAATCAGGAGCTTCTTTAGCTGGTGGTCATTTCCTTTATTCTGGTGATTCAGGGGTGATATTGTAAGGAGAATTAGATGCTAGTCACTCTTAGGGTCAAAAGCTTAAAATGGTTCAAAGGTGCATATGATAACTTTCCCTCCCTTTGAAAGGACAGAAGAGAAGTACTTTGGCTATCACATAGAAAAAAGGTTACGCCATCAAACAGCCATTTTTTTTTTTAACTTTGTAAAAATTGATTTGAGCAGGCAAAAGTCATATGTATTGGTTAGCTAGTATATATAAAAGTAGTGACACAACTTTTTTGCTATTCTCATTTTGGACCTTATCTTCCCAGTCATTACTTGTAAAAAACCTTTCAAAACCGTCTTGCATGTTTTGAGACTCAGCACAGTGGGCTGTCTTCAGTCCATTGTTCAAACATGTGCCCTACTTTCCCCACTGTTTTACCTGCGCTCACCAATATTAAGCATTACTCAGAAAAAAGGCAGTAGATTACCAGCACTGGTACTGGTGACAAGAGGTCACAAATCTGGAGCTAAATTAGGATCAGTATGATTTCCTTTCTTGAAACCTGTTTTCTTCATGTATGCGAGGCCAATGGACATGTGAGTTGATTCATAAACAAAGTAGTTCTCTGATAACACTCTGGTTAACAGGCCATTTCTGAGTTCTCTCAGTTCAGTGATCTGGTGGTGCCAAAATTATGGTGCAAGAATGAGGCCAAGTGCAAAGTCAGAGGCTCTAATCAGCATAAAGAATAAAGAGACTTGGTAGTATAAATGAGCAAAACTTTGTCAAAATTCAGCATGGAAGAGTGAAAAATTATTTGTGGGGGAAAAGCATTCAGCTAAGTGATGGTGGCAAGGAAAAAAAAAAGCAGAACTATACAATATATGCAATTGTTGCCAATTCAACTGTCAAAAAATGCTCTTTTAATCTAGAGCCTACTTGTTCCCTGTTTGAAGCGAAAAATATTGCATTTTTCAACTCAAGAAAATAGAATATGACAGGGAACTTGTGAAGTATTGTCTGCAATTTAATAAAAAAAAACTTAATGTCTTGGGTTCCTACCTAGCCCTAAAAAATTGCTCTGAACAGGGAAATATTGTTGAGTTCAAGCTACATGTAGTGTTGAAGAGAAAATTTTTGTTGATGCACCTGTTATCTTTGGATTATTTCTGTCATCATCAAGGTTTGTTTACAAGTGATATGACAAACGTTTTTTGTCCCATGCAACTACTAATGTGGCAAGGTGAAATCAACTTGTGTTGGCATAACATTTTCTTGCGTTTGCTGTGGTCTTTCTGTGATAAAATTCATTTGAAAACTTGAATGGCATCTAAGTGAGAATTTTTTGGATGATGAAACAATTGTCTTGTATGAATTGTATTTTAATGAGTGGTTGTACCAAACTGTAATAACTGTAAAAGAGTTGTAACCAGTATTGGTAGATTTAAAACTGTCACTTACACAGTTAATTGTCACTTACACAGTTAACATTATGCAAGCAGTACTGTAACCTGCACCTACCTATTACCCACAGCAACAGTCATTTACTGATAATTGAGCTGATTACCTGGTGGTAAACAGCCAGAAATTAGGGTATTAATTAATTATTAATTATTTGCTGATCAATATGAAAGACAAGGACAAACCTACAAGTGATAAAAAACAAGTGACTAAGGTTGTTGAGAAAAACATACTCCAAGTATTAGTTCCTATACATTAAGGAACCTGGCTGAGGGATTTTTTGTCATTTTCAGCAACTTTGTGGATTACTACACAGTGCTGAATCTTCAGAAAGCCTTACTGCTCAAATCCTAAATTTCAAAATGCTTTATTTTCAATTCCATCACCTCATAGTGCAATGAATTTGATTGACCTGTGTTATATGTGCAGAGAAAAATGATTTTGGTAAAGACCTATATTCCTTGTTTGTAGTCATTTGCACTCAGCTTGGAATACAGGTAAATAATTAAATGTTTTTCAGTTTCCTCTGAAGATTTGAGTTATCAGGATTGGACTGTATTTTGATGTAATTTATATTTTTCTGATTGTACATGATTGTTCATGAAACTTTACAACAACTGATTTAAAGGTTTCCTCTTAATTGCACTGGTATATTTATTGGTTGTTTACATCACACAAAATGGTCACAGGGATTGTATGGCTTGGCTTTTATAGCCTTTCAAGGGTGTCTGATCTACTCTTTACACCCTAACATCAGTATGCAAGGTATCTATACTGTTCTCTACACATTTCCTTTGTACAATCAAGAGCTTCTTGAGTTTGCAACCATTCTTTTATTCTCATGACCTTATTTAGTGATTGATTCAGGGTGATACTGTCAGGAGAAATTAGATGCTTATCAACCTTTACGGTTTAAAGGGTTAACACATGTTTTGTTATCATTTGAATTCTAGGAGGCCCGTGTTGCTGAGCTTGAACAACTAGTGAAAGAAAAAGAAGCCATTGTGAAGAGACTGAAAGAGAGTATAGGTGAAAGGAAATAACCAGGAGCAAGTCAAGGAATGAAACTGTCTAATATTGAAACAGTGCAGAAAATGAAGTGCATTGATGCAAATTTACACTCTGTTTGTTCTTGACTTAGGGTCAAGTTGTAAAGAAATGCTTTGGAATGTGAAGTTTGTATCACTTAAAGTAAATGAGGCTGGCAACTTTAAATCTACAGCTTTAATTAGAAATTCTTTGGTTCTTGACTTTGTTATTTGACTCAAGGGGTACTTGATACAAGACTGTTAGGAAATAATTATTTTCTGCATTTATTTCTTTTAGTGCTATGAGTTCTTTTAAGCCAATTAAATTTTGATGAAACATGTAAGTAAATTGATTAATCAGTTGCAGACTTCTAACCATTGACACAATTTACAAAAGTGTTCTTTTAGTATTTGGTAATAGTAATAATGTTGGACTTTAGGTTAGGCAAGGTCATTTTATTTTGTTCTGGGGCAAGGAAATTACCTCTAGCAGTTCCTCTCTCCAACCAGGGGCTTTTTTCTTTAAAGTCCTCTTAACTTAATTGTTCCTAAGACATATTTTTAAAATCAAAATTTCAAGAATAGAGAGGCAGGCTTTGGCACCCTAATCACTCTATTTTATTACCTGAACTGATAGTTTTATTGAATAACTTTTAAAACATCCATCTTGAATTAAAATAGAGCAGCTTTACAGGCCCTATAAACTTACTGGGAATAATGAAGATAAATAAATCAGAAAAACGGTATAGTTTTACCTCAACTGGACAAGGACAGCATCAAAGTCAGTCCAGGGGGAATAGCAATATTGCTGGTCATGGCTTGATGCTTCAGAAATGGAGGGCAAGCAGTGGTTGTAACCCGGGAGGGAAGGTTGGTTAGAGGAAGAGAAAAATTTTGATTTGAAAACTTTCTAATAATTACCATTTGTTATCCCTTTGTGTTTTTGTATCTAAGAATTTATGTTTCGATATTTTCTGAGGATCACTCTTGAGTACGTGTACGTCCTTGTCCACATTCGATTCACCGCCATTTACACATTAAATTTAGTACAACAAAGATGAACAATTATCAAGAAGAGTACCATGATTTATTAGTGGGAAACAGGTCAATGGATTTGCACAACACTGATAAATCCCAATAATTTTCAATAGCTTATTTCAGTAGTTGAATTATCATGCGACCATCGAGTATATTTTTCATCTTTCCTTCGGGAATCACTCTCCAGCTGCTTAGGGAGGTAATATGCCATTTTCCACTGACAAGGATAGACAACTACACACATGACGAATATAATTCACAGTTAAACACAGGCATTATTACGTCTGAAGAGACCAGTATGTGTATACATCTAGCGCTACTTGAATGGCTTAGTTTTCTCTGTGATTACGGGCAATGAAACGATAAATTGACTGATAATAACATTATCGTAAAATTTTACGGGAACTAATCACCCCTTCAAATATTACGTTTAGTTAACCTTTGATCACAGCTGAAACTATCTTAATATGACCGAGGTAATTACTTTTCCCTCAAAATCGTCTTAGGAGGTATCGCCTCAACACGATTGTTACTCTGTTGTAAACTAGTCCCTAAACGACTTGATGACGTCATTCGCCGTTGAAACACAGTGTCCAATCACAGATTACTTTCCGGTGCCCCAGCGTAAACATTTGGAAGCCTCGACTGCATTCTGGGAGCACTCATGCCGTCTCGCGCTCGTGCTCCGTCCTTCGCGTCCATGTTCCTTCGATTATCTATGTTATTAATCGTTTTGTTCTCTAGTCCGTGATCCGAGAATGGCCTTCGGTAAGCATGAGTCGTCGCCACTGGTAAGTCCATCTGCTCTTTTACGCTCGCCATAGACTAGAAAATGAAGTAATATGCAATTTTGGGTATACGTCAAGGAAATTTCGAAGTGCAAAGGAGGTCTCACATAGAGAAAATTTTCCATCGGTTAATAGACTGACAGACTTACGAAAAAACACCAAAAGCGTATGCAAAACCACTATTGTTTGACTAAGACATAGAGCTATTTTTAAAAGAAAATGTTCGAGTTAGGGAAAGAAAGTAATGATTTGGGATATGTGATTTACCTTGTTTAATAAACCAATTTTACGTGAAAAGTTAACGTTATTGCATCGCTGAATTCAACGATACTTGATCTAGGTGTCACAACACGTTAAGACAGTGACTGCTGTATTTAAAATGTTGAACGATTTCGTCAAGTCAGATTTTCGATTTTTGGCCGGCTCCTAGAGGGTGTTTATAGTGCCAGGGCATGGCTAGAAAGTATTGCTCGACCAGTGCCGATTGAGGATTTCTTCTTTTTAAGAGCGCTTTTTGTGTTTGGGCTTCAGCGTGTGTTTGGTACGGTGAGACGTTAGAGAATTCAACCTGACGCCATCATTAACCGGTGCACCCACCGTGCTCTTGTTGACCTCCCGCCTCAGGTTGTTACACCTCCTCTCGACCATTAGGAACATAACGGACACCACGATCCCTCCTGCCAGGACAATGAACACGCCCGCCATATGATCCAATGAGATACTCATGGGTGTGCTGCTTGCTTTAACTGTGGAGTCTGTGCACTCACTGCGACGGTCCCACCACTTCTTTTTGAGTTTGTCGACCACACCTTCCTCGCGGAGCTGGGGAACAACAAGCAACGACAGATCAGAACAACCAAATTTCTGTTTTTTTTTTTTGTCTTTTTCATCCCTAGCTGGAGTGATCATCGTGCAACTTTTCTTTGCCTTTCATTCCTCTTCTTTTCTTTCTTTTCCCTTTTTTTTTTCTTGTTTTCATTGACCCATATATTGTACTTTCAAATGTAATTAACCCTTCAACTCCCATGAGTGATCAAGGCATAATTTCTCCTTACATTATCAATACAATATCAAGCAGACAAGTAATGAGAACGAAGAAAAATATTAACAAGGGGATTATTAGTTGATCCAATACCAAATGCTCCGATCTAACATAATCAGAGTTATATGGCAGACAGTAAGGAAAATTACTAATAAGATCTTGGGAGTTAAAGGATTAAAATGCAATTTCTCAGTATATAGTTTTACTACTGTAATGAAGTAAGTCGAACTCAACAGCTGGACGGTGCTATACCTTGATAAATCACCAAATTCTCACAACTAATTTACAAGGAATAATATACCAGTTACAAGGGAGAATTAAGAGGTACGTCTTGGTGGCTTAAGGATATTTGAAAACTCGTTAAGAATTACCTGAAGAATAGCGACAGAAAATTGGTTCGTCAGTTCTGAGTTCCTTTGAAGTGCAATACCATAACTTTTGGCCTCCAATAAATTCTCTAGCATCATAGTGTTACATGGTTCCCTGCTGTTGTAGTAATCCAGGTAGGGTCCGTCTGTCAGGTAGGCAAAGCCACCCTCTCTCACTTTTTGAACTCCTTCCTTTGTGGAATTGACAAATGTGGCTTCACTTTTCATTCTATTGAACATCTTTTCATAAATCTCCACCTCGGACTGACTGAAGAATGTGTACAGAGATCCTCCGTTTAGCACACCGTAGTCAATCTCTTTCTGGTTGGCCAGGTCTGACAGAGAGTTAATACTTCTTTTTGTGTTTTTGGCTGAAAAAAATGGCCGAAAATTTTAGAATTAGGGCACGATCTTTACTGATTACTAACCGGCGTGATACATTCCCACGTTCAACATATAGTTCACGACATTTTTCAGACAAACTTCGCAGGAATTACAGTAGAAAACGCACAACATGATGCGCCAATCAATTCGAAGCTTAACTCGGCATCCCCCTGGGCAACCCTAGTTCATGCCCGGTGGTCAGGAATTTGAATTTTGCCTGGCTGGGGTGGGGAATGTGAACTAAAAGTATCAAGTCTTTCCAGCGGAATACAAATGTTATATCTTTGAAAATGGAGTTTTTTTAAGGTAAAAAGTTCACTTTCGCGAGCGCATGGCTCAGAAGATCCACAAGGTCAAGGTTTTAAAGCTTGGTCAATGTACAGAAAGTCATGCACAGTAATTGATTTTGCTTTTTACAAAAAATGGATGGGGCATTTGAACTTAATTCTTACTACATGGGAAAGGAATTTTGAACAAGCCAATCTTCCAAAGTTCAAATGCCAGAGATATTGCCCGGGGGGAGGGGAGAGATGTTGAAGCTTCGAATGAATCAACGCAGGACCATTTGACACTTTACTGTATAGAGTGCTTTTCGATTGAGTGCCGTAAAACCAAACCAAAGTAATTACATAGGCAAATCAGAAGAAAGAGAGAAGAGCAATGAAGACTTAAAAATTAAAACAGGCAAACTGTCTAAACGCGGAAAAAACTCGGGCGACCAAGTCGTGATCGGTGTTAGTTTTGCATCTGATTATCGGAGAGATTGGTGCGAGTTTTCTAGACCAATCACAGAACGGAGTAAATCAAAACCAATACAATCCGGCCGGATCACTTTTGACAATCAATTAAAAACTTCTTAACAAGCGGAACTAATGACCATTTACGTCCCTACTGTTAAGTTTGTGCCAACAGATGCAAAATAAACCAGCTGAATCTAAGATGAGTGGATTTTCGGTTGAAATCGAGAACATTAGCTGTCGAGGGTAATGACCGATGAGTTCTGACTTGATTAGCATACGATCTTATTTCTTGGAGGAAAGAATTCACAACATGACGGTCAATTCTGGTGCACAGACCGTCATCAAAGCAGCTTCTAAGTTGTTTATTACCTGTAAAGTACGCAGCCAAGTTTGCAGTGTAAGTAGATATTAGAATCAGCGTAAAAAACCAGAATGCGCCGGCCAGCATCCTCCCTGAGCCAGACCTCGGTGTATTATCAGCACCTTGCTGCAAAATAGAACCAGCGGCAAACCACAGACTGTTGAACAAATTGAGTTCGTCACCATCTCCTTCGCCAGATCTTTCCGCCATTGCTCGGTATCCATTAGGACTGAGGTGATCCAAACAGAACACGAGGAACGTGATGCCTATCACCTAGTAATAAGATTAAATCAACAGGAAAATGTCTGAAACGAATCGTTATAGCTTGCAAAAAAGTTTTTTGTGTTTGAGCTTTGAATAATCTTTACTTTCGCGTTTTTTCAGCTGATAATACAAAGGTTGTATTTGGATTACCTTTAGAAAAAGAAAAAGTCAAAAATTAGAACTCCTCCCCATATAAACTCATTTATATAACCCTTTACACCCTAACATCAGTATGCACATTCTCCATTCTGTTTTGTACACATTTCCTGAGGTGCTGAAAAGGAGAATTTGGTTAACAATCAAGAGCTTCTTTACTTGCTGATCATTTCCTTTATTATGGTGACCTTAATATTTGATTCAGGGGTCAAGGAAAAAAATTAGATGCTATTCACTCCTACGAGTCAAAGGGATGAGGATACAAAAAGAAAGCATTTTTATTATTTTTTGTTCATAAAAAAAGCTTAACTATTGCGAAAGTAAGTTGGCTCAGAGTCCCACCATGACAAACTTTTAAAACAACTTTGAAAAATTGCCCGTTATGAGAAAATTATTGGTGTATTCTTCTTCATTTCAATCAGAAATAAGTGATACAAAGTCTCCCACTGGACTCAGCGAAGTAATACTCACGACGGCCAACGTAGAGAGCCAAACGTTTCTCTCAAACGGTTGTAAAAATACAAACAGGTTCACTTGTTCCTTTTCCTTCTGCATCAACAGACTGACTTTAAAATCCATGAAGGGCTTACTGAAGTCAACATCTAACTCTCTTACAGCAGAGATAGTGATTGCGCCGATAGCCACCTGTGCTCTCTGAAAAAATCACATCATAAAAATATTTGTTCGAATTAGGAGGCAATTTATAGTCGTTTATCAAATTGTGAAAATCTGTCTTCCTTGGAAAAAGACGGTAACTGCACATTAACTTGTGAATATTCTAAGACTTCCACAAGCGGTTTAACTAAATTTTTAATTGCGAAACAGAATCTTCGTCTTCCTGAGGAAAAATATTTCATTGCATTTTTGATACACAAAAACGCATAATTATTTCCTACTAATTTCATCAAACCTTCTCGACAATGTCTCCAATCAGTCCATTCCACTTTCCATTACGATTTTTAGAGCCCATTTTCCCATCTTTGTTAGTCATGAGTGTATATTGGAAGCCCATTTTCCTTTGAATTGCGTCAAGAAGGTCGATGCTGAATCCTTCATATTTTGGCTTTCCCTCGGTCTGGTTCGCTATTCTTATACAAAACGGGGAATCCTAGAAAGGGATTTTTTCATGTTGAGTAAGACTTGCGGAATGATTAAATTATTTATAGCGTGAAAAAATATTATTATACACGATTTTTGTCTGACACCAAAACTATTTTAATAACAAGATCGCAGACATACCAATAAGTGGTTGGTTGTTGTTTTTGCTGTTGTTGCTGTCTTAATGAAACACGCGTCAGTGCGAAATAAACACAACTAAATTTCGGCTATATTTAGAGGGTTTTGAAGTTCAGATATTCCCCTCCCCCCTCCCCTCAATCAAAAACATCTATATCCGTCTCTGATAATAGTTGCCGCTGGCAATCATTGATAAACATCACTCTCGTCTTTTTTGTCGTTGCAGTCATAGTCATAAATGTTATTACTGATTACTGCTGTACACGAATTCACTTGTAATTTACTCTCACAACGGTTCGAGTTAATGTTTATTCTATTTTATCTCCCTCTTACTTCTATAGTAACAATTTTGAGCACACGCCCTTCCAAAGGCTTCCTCCTGTTTTTCTTGTTTTGCACTAAACATTGCAATTCCTCCCAGAAATCCCCAGTCCAGTCGATAGAGTCCTCCAAGCTGTCAAGTTGCACTGCTTTGTTAACTGTGTTTCCTTTGTTTGCGTTCCAATGACCAACCTGCTCAAACCATTCAGAAACAACATTAGTAGTTTACTAGTTTCAAATTATTAATTGAATGATTGCTTGCTGATTAGTGAAAATTGCCCATTTTGTGTTTTATTTTGCTCAGTGATCTCGCTACCGACCGTTTCAGATGAAGAAGTACTCTGACCACAGGCGGCCCAAGCTCCAGCTGTGAGATGGTCATCTTGCGCAATAACAGTCATGGCGGAATTATAAGAGTTTGTATCGGAATATTTACGGCCGCCCTAAGGAATAAAATAATACGTCAAATTCTCAAAAAAATTACCTCACCTTACTTCTACAGCGTAACGCTTGTTATCTGACCGCTTACTTTGATGAAAAGGACGCATTTTAGCGAGTTGTCCATTTCGACGTTTTCAACGTTCATAAGAAAAGCCCAAGGCTGAACGCTCCATTTCCGAACGCCTGATCCGAGAAGAAACATTTCCGGAGGCGAATTCGATTGGTCGATCGAAACAATAGCCTCTTGATCGATTTCTTTTGAGGGGACCCGTGGTTCTAAAACAATTTATTGACGATAACTGACGGTATGGTCCCCGGCGAGGCTCAGTTCGAAAAGAAGGTAGGGTTACCAAGCTGGTTTTCAACGGTCGTGTGTCAAGGTTGATGTGGCCGCGGGCTATTAGAAACCTCTAAACTGGAAATTTTTGAAGCAAACTGCGGCTTAGTGTCGGTTGCGCGGGGAAGATTTAGTGAATTTAAATGAAACTACAGTATATTTGCTTGGATTCTGCGTTGGATTTGTGGCCGCCCGGTCATTTTGAGCTTGGATTTTTCACTTCTCGGCTCAGGCGTTCGGAAATGGAGTGTTCAGCCTTGGGCTTTTCTTATGTACGTTGAAAACCTCGAAATGAACAACTCGCTAAAATGGGCTCTTTTCATCAAAGTAAGCGGTCAGATAACAAATGATACACTGTGGAAGTAAGGTGAGGTTTTTGTTTTGAGAATTTGACGTATTTTTTTTATTCCTGAGGGCGGTCGTAAATATGCCCATACAAACTCTTATAATTCCGCCATGACTGTTATTGCGCAAGATGATCATCTCACAGCTGGAGCTTGGGCCGCCTGTGCTCTGACCAGACAACTGAAGTCAGAAGGAGAAAGACTGATCAGCACAGCGGAAGAGAAGCGGACCAGCAGGAAAAAAAGAAGTTGTGTGTCTGTGCGTCTGCGATTACCATTCGCGCATTCGGCCTGTTTGATGATAGGCAGCGCCGTTGTAATAAAGCAGACAACTAGGAATCTCTTCCATGGTCATCACAGACCGACGGAGGTTGACGGCGATTGATCTAAGAAAAATTTTACTTCCCTCTCAATCAACAGATACAAATTCATCCGCGTTTCACGTGCTCCAGACAGTTTGCCCGTTCTTAATGGCTCTTTGTCGTGTTACTTTTTTTTTTGGTTTGATTGGAAGTTGTACATATAACTATGTTGCTTTACATTCCATCGAACTAGTAAGCTTGTAGAAAAAATAGAGTTGCAATAGAGTTGTAAATGAGGAAATAATTACACGTAGGTTAGCTACCTGTTTTGTAGACCTGGAGCAAAAGGCTACGTTGTCCTTACTGTTTTCAAAGTGCCACCTCTAAAATTCTTTATGGTAAAACACTCACTAGATAATTGTTAAAGGGACTTACGTTGACCAATGCGGACTCTGTGTTACCGTCGTCATCTCCCCGCACCTGAACATTTATTATATCCAACCTCTCCACAAGTCTGCTCCTTGTATTGTTATCAAAGTCCACTAACCCGGTAATTCCCCACAACTTTACCTGAAAATGTATTCTGGGAATTAATATTCTACATTATTATGCAACTGCAAAAAGTACAGTACAAATAACGCGCGAATGGAGTATAAATATTCTGCGATATATATTCTACGGTTATTGGGACAGTTGGTTATTTTTTGCTGTAGACAAAACCTACTTGACCGGTCGGCTGCGCGCGCCAAGCTTTTCTATCCGCTTTGCTTTTCCCGCCTTATGAGCAACGAGCAGTAAGGCAGAAAAAAAAGCAGTTGGATCATAAATAATTTATTATTGGGCTGATCAAAATACGGCACAGCTCGTAAAAATACTCAGCGATACTACACACCAAAACGTCTAATAAGGTATAGAAATCTGATCTCACACGCAAACGAGATATGACATTTAATCATTTAATTGTACATCACGCGATTAACTCTTCCTCTCCTAGGAGTGATAAGCATCTAATTTCTCCCAAAGTTATCACCCCTGATCACACGTTAAGGTCTTGAAAATATAGGAAATTATCGCGAACTCAAGAAGCTATTGATTGTCGTAAAACTTATCCTTGTAAGTGCAATAGAAAATGTATAAGGAACAGTTTGGAGAACTTGCATACTGATGTTAGGGTGTAAAGAGAGACGGAAACGTTTCCCGTTCTTTACCACTTTAGTAGGGGTAACATCTGTCATCTAGAGAATTTTTTGTTCGGTCAATAAAATCTAGAACCTTCACAAATACTTTTGCGAAAGATAGTTGCAAGAATTGCCATTTGCCTACCTTCTCGTTTAGATTGTTGAGCAGTTTTTTACTACTATCTTCAATTCTATACCCATCTGCGAAACAGTCTCTCAGGTGTCTTGAGATCCCTTTCGTATCTTGCTTAAAGGCTTCTACGACTGCGTAAATTGTATCATTGACCAATGCATACGTGATCTTGAGAAAATTGAATGATATAGATGATAAGTGAGCCATGATTTTAATGATTCGATTAGGTTCAAGCTTACTGCAAACGCCAGCACTAACCCTTTAGTACCTAAAAGTGACTAGCGTCTAATTTCTCCTTACAATATCACCCCGCATCACACATGAAAGTAATGAGAATATAGGAGATGGTCACTTATTAGAGAAGTTGTGGATTATGAAACAAATTCTCCTCATCAGCACCTCTGGGAATGTATAGGGAACAGTATGGAGAATATGCAAACTGATGTTAGGGTGGAAAGGGTTAATTGAAAGATAGCCCTCTATATTCTGACTTTTTCATCCTTACCCTTTCATAAGCCAAAGAGATTGCTAATAATAGGTAAATTCTTTATTAGAGCCAATATAATTACAATCCACATTCTTCAGTGCAAAAATTGCTGATGGCGAAAGGTCGTTCATTGTGCGTGTGTGAACTGATTATGGATGTGGAACTACAGTGAAATTTCTAACCAGCCCTGCTTTTTTGAACTGGTTTGTAACAGTGATGAGATTTTGAAAATCCCCTTTAATATTGCGCTAAATTTGTGGAGCTTTGAAGCGTTCGATTTTGAGTTGTTTGCAGAGGGAAAAGGTGGTGCGACTACAAACAACTCTAGGTGGTAGAGCGAGGGTGCTAGTCGGGCTAAGGTCAAACAGGGTCAATCTCACGCTATCCTGATTTCTGTGCATGGGAGTAACATGACTAAACGGAAGGCTAGGAATTTGACGAAATTTTGTGGATCCAAGGACTGTGCATTATATATTTTTAGAAAGTTTCCTCCCGTCATAAAATCTAATGTCATTCATTTACTATACCCGCATTTTCAATGAAAATAACGAGTTCTGGAGAGTTACTTTATGTCAGAGAAACTACCGGATGTTCTCCTTATTTTTCCTTGCTACGCATACATGCTGCGATATGATTTTGGAACTGCCTTGCTCATGCACGTATATTTTGTTCTTACTGGTTTGAGATTAATCAATTTCCATGGAAAGAACTACTTCTGTATTTAACATGAAAAATAAAAAAAACGATAACAATAGTGATTTATACATTATTCTTACAAAACGCTTGGCATGAAATCTAAGTTACCTCTGAAATCTGGTTGGTGTTACTCTCGAGCTGGAATTTCCTTTTCAGATCTGTAGCCTTTCGGATATCTGTCAGGTTCACCTGGAGCCCAACAAGTCCTTTAAAACAACTTTTCGATATGTTACCTTTAAAGTCCTGAAGGAATAAGATAAAAGCATGTTGGTATCTGAGTTTCTGTTGTGGGATACCGCGCACACATTTTTCTGTAAAGAACATCTCAGGAGAAGCGCGTTCCTTTCGTTTTCTTTTGCGTTGCAAGGTAACGGAAAGAAAAGGATAATGATTTGTCAGGTACATAGAGAAGCTTTATTGGTCAAAAATGGTCAAAGAAGACAGTGAAAAGGAATAGGGTTTGGATCACAGGCAAAACATTTTCGACAAAAGACTTTGTTGGGTACTCTGGTTTTCACAGGTAGTTGAAAAAAATGTTTCATACCATGTTGAAGGTAAACCATCTTGAATCTTTGTTTATAGCTCCCAGACGTAGTGACTGGAACACATAAAAAAGTAACTTAATGTTTACATGAATTGATTACGGATGTACTGAAGTGAGCCTAAACCTAACATCGTGATTGGAAATAATTTTGCTTATTATGTTGCTTCGGCCTAGCCAACAGGAGAATTTGGCTAATTTCTCATTTTAGTATAACCCCGAAATAAAACATTAAGGAATGATCTCTAAGCAGAGAAGCTCTTGATTGCTAAAAAAAAATTTCCTTGTCCGCACCCTAAGAAGGTCTGATTATTAAAAAAATTCTCCTTGTCAGAGGAAAGGAGACGTATAGAAAACAGTATGAAGAATACGCATACTGATATGAAGGTGTCAGAAGGGTTAAAGCTCAAATGAAATGAGCACACATACTTAACAACAGACACAGCCAACACAATACTTACCATCTCAAGAATAGTGCCCAGATTCTCGGGTCTACAAATAACCAGAACGTAGTTTGCTCGCACTTTGGGCAGAACTTCGAGGGCGCGCTGCAGCTGGCTGTTGTCGTTAACTTGTAATTCAGGAATAGCTTCAACTCTAAACTTTTCCATTTCACGAGCTATTGAGTAAACCTGGGTGGCTACAGCAGAGTAATCGGCTGGAAAAAATTGGACGAATTGTTATGGTTGTTGAAGAATAATAACACTTTCTTAATTAGATGTGGAGAAGCCACGCTAAGGCCCTGAGAGAGCTATCTATTCTCTCTTCTCCTTTTCCCACAGGGTTACTTGAAATACCCTGACAAAGACATACAAGTATGTATTTCTTAAAATCCCTCGACTAAGACAGACCCTATTGATTTTTGACAACGTAGGAATATAAACTGATTAACCAGTCCTTCAACTAGGCTTTTCAGCGTCAATAAGAACAAATTGAAACGTTGAATAAAAAAGGAGTTTTTAAATCTCTAACTAGTTTGAGGCAGACGAGTTGGCTATGACCTATACAAAGTGCAGCCAAGGAATTGAACTCGGGGCGATTGAGGACAAATCCAGTGAGTAGCAGGGTGGAGGGCTTGAACCTGGGATCAACAGACTACAAGCCTAGCCTCGTGTATCACTCAGCCACCCTGCCTCATGAATCATTGATCGATATCGTGAGGCTTGGGTGTACATTTTGAGCTATCTTTGGCCAGTAACCAGAGGGATCCAGCATAGATTACTTAAAAAATTCAAGTTAATAACCATCTGCAAAGGAAACAGTACAAGAATTCGTAATGCATGTTAAAAATTAAAAGTTAACCTTCAAACACAATCGCTACTTTCTCTCTTGGAGTACTCTCTTTACCAATACAGAAATCAAGCAGGTCCACCATCGCACGGGAATACATCTCGTAAGATGGCAGTGCTGAGTAGAAAAAATCACTTGAAAAATCCTGAAGGACAGGTTTGAAGCTCAGTAACGGAATGGTGAGCACCTCAGCAAAAGCAAGCGAGTAGTGATCACCAAATGACAAGTCGAAGATTGCTATTGCACAACTCATCTTCTTTAAGTTTTCTAAAGAAAAAAAATAAACTATTTATAAGATAATAACTATTAATACTACTCAGTGCTACTACTACTACTACTGCTGCTGCTGCTACTACTACAACTTATTATTATTATTATTACTACTGCTACTACTACTACCACCATACCACCACTACTACTACCAATACTACTGCCACCATTACCAAGATTTCCACTCAATTCTTTTAGGAATCGTTCTATCTACCCTTAACATCATGATTTACAAGCTGGCTTATTTGATTGCTTAATCAAAAGACTGTCTACTTACAATGTAGCATGTTTCATAACTAAACAAATCATCGAATTACATCTGTCGAGCTGCACATATGCATGCATCATTACTAGTTCATCATACCATATATCAACAGGTCCTTTGCAGAATTAACCTCGATCAATATCACATCAATGCATACATCGTTTGATTTCGAGTCAAAATTTCTTTGACATGTAGACTTGTTAATGACTTCCTCCAGCATCTTGGCGATAGATCCATCTCTTGGGTGGTAAACTGCACCTGAGAAGCAACAAATTAACGTTAGCTTAGGTGATATTTGCAGTTACACCACACATTCTTTTCTGTGAGCCAGTTTTCGCGCTGAGGTAAATTCATTCTTGATCTTAGACTTAGATGCCAAGATTGGAGCCGAACATCAATCTGAATTTGCCTTCTACTCTGTATGTAGTGCATAACTCCGACGTAAAGGCGGACGGAAAGCAAACCACAGTGGATCTACAGTAGCATCACGCAGACCATGATAGAACTACACTGCCTTTGATTAGGAGTGCTGGAGCTACTTTCAGGGGAATTTGAGCGGAAGTAGGCGAATATAGGGCCCATCTTGAATGCTTTCTCTCCGAATACAGGGCCCATCTTGAATCCTTTCTCTCCGAATATAGGGCCCATCTTGAATCCTTTCTCTCCGAATATAGGGCCCATCTTGAATCCTTTCTCTCCGAATATAAGGCCCATCTTGAATCCTTTCTCTCAATTGGCATCCCCCTACTAACGAATGTTTTTTGAAAGTGTATTGAAACTCAATCATGGTAATCAAAACGGTAAATCAGATCAGTGGTAGATATTACCAGGATACGAAGCCACGAACCTGTCATTAAGCGCAAGAAGAAGCAATTGGCCATGTCTGATTGGTTAATAATTCCATTTAAGGCGTGTCAAAGCAAAACAAACTCAAGAGGATGTGTCGAAATTTGTTCTATCAATAAGTAATTTTATTCCGGAGAGGATAATACAAATCCTCGTCGTTGAAAAATTATTAGCGAACTTGTAAGGAATATATGCATACAAAAAACGTATTTCATATGAAAGTATGATTTCCTCAAAGAATAAATCAGTTTATTTAGACGTTTTATAAAACTCATGAATTTGAAAAGTGCGTGTAAAAATAAACTTCCGTCTAAAAAACCTATCTTGGTATCATTTTTTTCATAAGGTGAGCTCCAACCTTTTAAGATGAATTAATTTTTACTTTAACCCTTACATCGAGCTTAAATTCAAGTAACTATGAAAGCCCACTCCACGAAATGTAAGCTATGAGTTTGGTGTAAAAACTGGCTTACCAATTGATGGTTTGTCTTCTTGAGTTAGGTCTACTCGCTGAATAAAATCAGTCAGGACCAGACAGACAGAACATAGGAAAGCTTGAATGGCTCTCATTGGTGAAAAGAGGTTTCAGGGCTTTGAACTTAAAAAGCCTTGAGGAGTAGGTAAGCGATGAAAATATGCTTTCTGCTTCGACCAAATCCTCTTGATACGGATAAGTCAAGATGCTGTGACGTTTTTTAAAAGCCACGCGTGATTTTCACAACTTATATACACTGAATAATTCAATGCAAGAGTAAGTCAACAATAAATGTTTTAAAGGGGAACGTAACAGGGCCAGTATCGCCGGAAGGCAATTTAAGAGGAAGTACGGAAAAAAATTTACCGAAACTGGTGTTGATTTAACGTTTTAGGATGATAATACAATAATTATTTTGTGTTATTATGTGTTATGCAGACATTTTGTCTAGCGGACGAGGACAAAAGTTGACGTCAACGTAAGCATTTCTTGCCGGTGACGTTTGCGGTTTCGTTTCATGGAGAAGGAAAGCAGAAGTTTGGTTTTTTTCATTAATTCAAGAGGTTTTGTTTAATTCCTCATGGCCAAAAGAAGGGAAGTAATCAATTATTAATAAAAGCTAAGAATTAAACTAAACAAATTGAAAAGAAGAGCCGTTTTTCTTTTAGATATACGCCAACTTAAGTTATTTTTATAAAAATTTTTCTAAAGAAAGAGAATGCGATTTGTCAAAAGCCACTGGCACTATCTGCCTTCACAATCAGACTTACTTTCAATTCATCATATTTACATAACATGACACAGTACATTCCTCATATTTTATCTGAGTTTTTATTTGGTTTTCTGAGCGGTTAGCAAATCAAAAATGCAATAAATGTTTAAGCAGTGTTTGGTAAGATATTAAATCTACCTGCATTCAAAGCCTTATCTAATATTTTGATCTTAATTTGACGCTTATGTGTAAAGATTGTCATGATTAAAATAGAATTTTGATCTAGTTATTAGCATAATTAGTTACGACGTCGGTGGGCAGGGCTTCTCTTATGCTCTTTTTCTCATAATAGCTTAAACGTTTTTCGAATTAAATAAACTTCTCAAATCAGTGTGGTATTATCAGATTAGATTGAAATCGAATCCTTTATGCTGTGCACGACAGTTCCTTATATATGGTATCGTCAATACCTTGTTCACAAGCACCTCGAAGGAGATCACTGTATTTTTTTTGCGAGTAAAAAATAATTCATTTCATCAGCGACCTCTGAGAGAGCAGAAAAAGGCGCCATATGAAGGTGCGCTTTAAGGTTTTGATCACTTTCTTAAAGTGGTACACTTAAATGCCATCAAAGGATACTTGAGTAATAACGGCTATGAACAACAATTTGAAAAAAAGGTTGTTATTTTAGAGAGTTTATTTCTAATGTAAAACATACTTTTACGAACTTAATCATTCCTGTTTTGGTTTTAAAATATACTGTACCAAAATCGTTGAAAATGGCCAGCGCCTCGTTAACTCGAAATTCCCATGGAAAAGAAGAATAGATTGATGTATAGAGAAGCGTGGTTAACCGATAGTTAATGACCAGAAGCATATAACCAAGGTTATGTGCTTCTGTAATGACTTTAAAAATATTGTTCAAGCATAACATTTTAAGTTCAATTTCATTAAGGTTCGGGTTAACTTTTCATAAACCTGAACACTAGTTGCAGCTTTCTACTAGACTTCTTTATGTTGAAAATCTTTTGTAAAGCGGGGCATCCTACTTCGATTTATAACGGATGAACCGAACAATTCGGAGTCGATTGTTTAAACCCGCCTTTTAAGTGGGAAAACTCATTTGAATTACAAATAGTTTTCAAATTAATAATTCATATTTCGCTCAGTTTTGCACGTGGCCAGAGCTTACGAACTTCAAGAAATTTGAGCGTCGTTTTAGCTTCTATGTAGTAAAAAAATCGTAATTTGAACGTATTATCTTGGATATTGTCCGTTGTCTCCATGTCGGCTAATATTTCTTATGCTGGACCAAGTGATTTAGATACCTTGTCGAGGATTCATGCTTTTAACTTTTCTCACGACTTTTCTCCAGGTAAGTAACCTATCTCATGATGGGAAGATAAATTTGGATAGAGATGCAGTGTTTATCTTTATTGATGTGGCCACTGTAAAATTAATTTACCGAGTCAACTGTAATACACAGAACAAAGTGTAGGAAACATCCTTTGTGGCAGCCGCCATGACAGTTCTTCTTGAACTTAACTTAAGAAATTCGTACTTTATCATTAGTGTACTTATCGCTTATTTATTTACTTCTTTCTTCATGATCCTGTACGTATTTTTCAACTAGTTTTTATGATTACAGAGTTTTGACCTAAAGTGTGTTTTCAACGCCCTTGTCTCAGTTTCCAAACTACGATAGCAACAATGAAGCTCATGAAATACCAATTTAATGCTATTTAAGGGCAAGGTGCCAATAATCAAAGTTAGCTAAGTGATCGCTGGTTTTGTCATAGACTGATAACAAAGTCCTTCAAGTAAAATGTCCTTTTATTTTTTAATCCATTAAATATTTTTTATTTGTCGATATATAATGTGGTGGCTTCAATTGAGTATTTCCATTTGGACATTGATATTTATCATTAACAATAAAAAAATTTCTTATCTGAAGAAAGGTATGCATAGAATAATAGTTACATGGTACTTTCCTTCTTTAGATACGACAGAGTCAAGCACAAGATGGACCAGCTTGGAAATCAAGAAATGAAGAGAGGACAGAAAAAAGGATAACATCTAATCAGGTTGGTTTTTATATCTGTAACGAATTGATCAGCATCTAAGCCTGTAAATAAAACTTAGGTTAAAAGTTAAGCAAAAAAAGATTGTTATGGATTAACCATAGCAACAATAAGTTTGTCAAATTCCCAGACAGTTTTAAGCTAAAAGGCCAGTAGTCAAAGTAAGATAGGTTATATATTCTCAATTGATCACACTTTTTGTTTTCGAATGCCTGGTAGGTCATCAAAATGAAATTTCTTGATGCTTTTGTTCAATGAGGCTAAAAGACATTAAATTTGTTAGAGGAAATGTGGTGGCTCTGGATGATTTTTTTCTATCTGAAAGTTGACCTTTGGTATATAGAATGAAAAGCACCTAGGTATGTTCGAACCTATATTTCTACATTGAGCGATTTAGCCCGGATTTAGCGAATGATTACAATCTTAACGAATTCGGTAAATAATGAGGAAAAACTGGAACTAAGACATGAATCAATTTCTTCACTGCCTAACTTCTTGGATCTGTGTCTGATTGGGGCAACCTCAATTGTTTTCATCAGTGTTTGTTTGATGAATTATTTCTGTCAAGAAGACTTTTAATTTCATCTGTTTCAAGGGTGTGAAAGAAATACCTTGTCATTACTGTGCTTTTTTTAATGACTATCTATCTGACATACCAAGTTACCATAGTAACAGTTAGGACTATCAAATTATCTTCAAGCTTTAAGATTGGAGAATAATTGTAATAATGATATCGATCATTCAGCTTTTCCTGGATCTTTTAAACGTATTACTCACTAAAAAAGTGCACACTTTCTACGAGGTATAAGTTTTTTTGTTTGGCATGCGTGTTTAGTGTCCGCCAAGGGGCTCATGGAAGACCTTGAATTTGTCGAATATTACATTATTTTAAATTCCTACTCGCATCAAAACGACTTTCTGACTCAAGCCTGGCTTCACTCAAGGATTGCCACTTTTGTGGCCTAAAATAAACGTAATAATGCCGCAGGTTACGATTAAAAGATTTCACGAATAATGTTTAGCAAGGCAATCTATATACAAGAGTAAACGGATAAAACGGGAAAGGGAGTCACCGATCTTGGCTACTCGCCGATCACTTATAACAG